CACGCCAGTTTCTTTAGGGGGTTTGATGAGTTTCTCTTCGACTCTAACCCTCTTTCTGTTTTCTTTTCGGCGGGATTTCATTCCTTTCTCTTCGACTTTAACCCCTTCTTTATTTTTTTTGAAGGCGTAATTTGATTTCTTTCTCTTCCTTTTGATTACAGGCGGAGCAAAACMATTGTCCACGTCGTAGTTGCTTCGTTTCACTCCGCTCATGTTGAGCATGAAGAATTGCCTGTAGGTTACCGCGGCCGGCATGCAAACGAAAACGACCATCAGGAAGACGGTCAGTTGCCCTCGATTCACCCCTGAAATTTCGGCGCGTTTGGCATCTCTGGAGCTACGAAAGGTAGCGGGGGGGTCTGGTTTTCTCATCATCGCGGTGCGTTCCATTCGATACTGGCACGCATCCGTTTGTGCACCAATCTTCCTTTCAACGGTAAGGAAGGATTATGCAACATATTGAATATCCGTCGTTTTTTCCCAAATTGTGGAGTGCTACTGTATCGACTACTACGCGTAAAATAACAATTGAAATTACGTAAGTTACAGTAATTGAGGCATTGGGACTGTGAATTTAACGTTCGGAATGTTAAATTTATGGTGTACGCAGGCCTACGTAGATCCTAGTATTATCCACATTTTTTCAATTGGTTGCCGCCGCCGCCGCCGTTTTTTTTTTTGGAAGGACGGCGGAGGCCGAAAAACTGAAAAACTAAGTTATTGCTAGAATGACTTGTCACAATAATGGGTGATTCCCGTAAACACAGATCTATGTAATATTGAATTAGAGTTCAGTCGTGCACACATAGATTTATGTCTTTTTGACACAGATACATAGATTTTTGGTTCAGGCAGGTTCTCGTCAACCATAAGTATGCAAAAAACACATAGAATTTTTGGAATCCTCGATTCAAAAATTCATTAGTCACGAGCAGGGGGAGCCAAAAATGGTGCGCCAAAACATATCTAAAGTGTCACAAAGCGCACCAAAAGAACAATCCTAAACGCCAGGTGAACCACGACCAGTTCACTATACAAAATTTGAAGTAACTGGCCGGAATAGCTAGCATCCTCACTAAAAGGACCACAAAGACAAGGAAGAAGCCTGATGGAGTCATGTCAACAGGAATTAAAAGTTGAGAACCCTGAGAACCCCCCCTTCCCCGGGAGAGGAACTGGTGTGAATGTAGCGAAACGCGTGTAGTTCACGGCGTTGATTCCAGCATCGATTCCAACACAAAAAGAAAAGACGTCGATTCCGAAGATGGTTTTAACAAGAAACAACCAACAGCAGCAACAACCGCCAGTTGCAGGCAGGAGGACTGGTCCAAGGAATGGTACAGTGAACTACACCACTCAGGAAACTGTCGACTTGATGTATGCCATCTTGGCAAGGCTCCCTATTGGACCTGATCAGTGGCATGAAGTGGAAGCAAATCATGTTGAAAAGTATCCAGATACCGGTAGGGATGTTGCCTCCATCCGTAGGAAGTTTGCATCCCTTCATAGAAAGAACATCCCTACTGGAGATCCTAACTGTCCTTTAGCAGTGAGACTTGCCAAGAGGGCCAAGCGCTTGATTGGAGAGAAGGCTGATATTGGAGATGGAGAGGAGCACTTTGATATTGAAGAAGGATATGTGCATCCTGATGGAAGGAATGGTGATCCTGAGGGAAATCATCGAGCTGGAAACAGCAACAGCGGCAACAACAGTGGCAATGTTAGTCGTGACACAAGAAACAATGGCACCAACGTGAGCAACGGCACCAACGTGAGCAACGAAGACAACGCACCACGCCCCCCTCAGATAGTACTCCAACAACCCTCGCAAGAAACAGGAGTCTATTCTCAACTTACTCAGCAGGAAGAGGCAGTTCCTCCACTCGCAACAGCATGAGCTGTTACACCCGGAGGAAGAGCTCCCCGTGCTCCCCGTGTTCGTTCTTACAACACAGCCACTGCAAAGCGTGACATTGTAACAGCGTTACAGGACTGTGTTGCACAGCGTGAGAGAGCAGCTGAGAGAGCCAGGGAAGAAAGGCAGGAGGCCTACCAGGCAATTGGAAGCGCGCTTGGATCCCTTGTCACCATTGCCATGCAGCATTTCAGTCCAAAAGTTGGCAGGAAGAAGCAGCGCCATCGAAGCCGAAGCCGCAGCAGCAGCAGCAGCAATGATTCCGCGGATTCCGTTTCCGATTAGGGCATGAATCCCATTGTCGATTGTCGTGTTTATAATTATTTACTACATTTAATTCATCTTATTAACTACTTTAATTCCCATCTTCCATTTGGTGTACTGATTACTGTGTTGATTACTGTGTTATGGCAAAAGAAAGGGGATGAAAAGCAACCGGATTAGTTTAATTCCTACGCGTTAGCTCGTGTTATTCAGTACTGATTCTACACGGTCTTCCGTACATATTGAATTTTTTTAAGTCAACGCACCATGCCTAAGAACTCAACGGACCGCACGTAGTCCCGCCAAATCTTGCGATAATTTGATTATATATCATCATGAATATTTCTTATTGATTCTATTCCCACCTCCTTATGGGATATCCAACATGCATTGCTGTTATTAATTATATTCAAAATGTATATTTCTTATTGATTCTATTCCCGCCTCCTTATAAGGGAATCTTTGTGATTCAACGCTTCAACGGTTCAACGTTCAAATAACACGGAGCATCGTGTACAAAATCCAACTTAACACGGTGTAACGCGTACTAGTAGCTTTGTGCTCACTCGTTGACTGCTGCTCGCAGCTCAGTTCACTTCCTCCATGGTGATACAGTTGGTTGCTCAAGCCTCCAGTATGAATTACAGTAGTTTAAACTCGTTTAGTGGTTCTGATCAAATGGTACGTTGACCATGGGAATTGTATCGTTGTTCGTATGCGTTGTTGCGTTGTCGGTGTTGCGTTATCAGTGTTGCGTTGTCAGTGTTGCGTTGTCGGTGTTGCATCCGATCTTGCTGGAATGTATCGATCTAGTATTGTTGTTGCTTGTCAGTGTTCTTGCGTATCGGTGCTGCGTAGTATGTTCTTGCTGGGATGTATCGATGTATCGTTGTTGCGGCTGTATCGGTGTTGCGTATCGGTGTTGCGGCTATCATATCTCACCACGACGACTCTCACCAAAACAAGTTGTTTGCATCATCATCGATTGTCGCATGGCTAAAGAAGCCCCTTTTGTTAACCTCATCTGGCATGAACACATTGAGGATCTGATTGATGCCTACAGTGCTGGCCTGATAATTATACAGCAAGATTGCTGTGTTCAACAGAATCTTCCTTTCACCTTGGTCCTCATACCTGATCCTATCCTTCAGCCTGGGGAACTGTCCTTGGATCATCCTCATGCCCCATTCAGCAAGCTGTCTCAATGAAGTAGCCTCACGATTAAGGGATACAGCAGCTGCAGCAGCTCGCGTGTCTCCTGGTACTGCATCAAGGTCTGGATCCTGTTGGGAGCTCCTTACAAGATATGGTTTGCCAAGCATTTTGAATGCTGAATCAACCACTACCTTTGCTCCATGCAAGTCGTACATCTGCTCCATCTTCCTGTAGACTCCATACTCTGACATGGTGCTATCATGCCAAGACCCAGGACAGTTGAATGTTGTTGCCCTAATTTTGCCATCCGGGGCAAAGACAAAGAGGCTGTTGACACATGTATCATAACACCATCCGTTGTAGAACATGTTCTGTACTGTCCAGTCAGAAGCTTTCTGCAGCTTGAGCTTGAGGCCATCTGCAGCACCCCACACATTTTGCTCTCCAAGCAGAGGATATTTCTCCCCAATAGCCTCAATATAAGCATGGATCTCCTCTCTGGCAGGAGCTTGGATCCTTGCGTCTGGATGGTCTTGCAATACGTAGAGGAGAACACACCTGGAGAACTTGATCCATTTGTACATTACTGTTGACGTGAGACCAAATGCCATGGAGAGGCCTCGTGCTACGGATCCACGAGTCCTGAACCAGTGCAGGGTCAATCCAAGACAACACAAGGCAGATGCTTCACGCTGCCGACCCTTTGGCGTTCCATTCCTGTGGAGGCTCCTCATTCTAAGCCGGCCTGTTGCTTCATCAATCATGTACATGTTGAATATTGGTGCATAGAGTGCCAGCAGTCCCCTGAAAATCCTGTGGTCTACACCACAACAGTTCAGGAGGGCCTGCTCATTGCCAGAGCCATACAAGTGAAGGAAAGGAGACTCACCCCACCTCCTGATTGAAATACGCGGGTTTCTCCTATCCCTTCTGTGCCTCTCCTCTTGAGACAGTTCCTCTTTATCCAGCTCATTGTGGAGAGCTACACAAAGGATAATGAATTCTAGTGACATTGTTGGGGTAACAGCAGCGCGTTGTCGGGGTTCCAGCACGTTGATGGGGTAGTCGATGTTCCTTTCTTTTAATGAAATTTGCCAGCAAGCAACGATGCCCATTTAATGCAGCAATTCATCTTTTGCAGTTCCTACCGGACACTGTAATCGTGACACTTTAGATTTGTTTTGGCGCGCTTGATTTTGTGACACTGACACAGTCGTGACACTTTAGATTTGTTTTGGCGGGCTCCCCCGGCTTGCTGACAGCATGTGTTCTCAATACTTTGTGTTTCGGAACCCCCCAGAAGGCAGTTATTTTCTGTTAATTTCAAGCAAAATTCCCTATTCCAAATTAAGCACATTTAGCAAGACACAGTCTGTGACACTCAAATCTATGTAGTCAGCTTTTTATTCCCGTTAAGTCATAGATGCGATTTATGTCAGCATAGATTCTATGTTTACGGGAATCACCCAATGAGTGATTCCCGATATTATAGAAATGCTAAATTTGATAGACGGACGGACCAAAAATCTAGCACATTTTGTAATAGATTTAGCATTTTTAGAATGGGTCAACCGACCCCATTCTAAATGTGCTAAATCTATGATACGGTATTTCTAGTACATTCCAACAAAAGACTGGCATCGAGCCGGAATTCTCGTGGTCTGTCTGTTGAAATTCGGATTCCCGTTATTATAAAAGTGCTAAACTCATAGATTCCGGAATTCTATCATTCTATAATAACGGGAATCACTCAATGACTGAATGTTTAAGTAAAAAATGAATAATTTATTCTGGTCAAGGTACTATTTGCAAAAATTAATATACCAGGGTTTACACAAATCCACACTAAAAAGAAGTTTCTTTTTGTTTCCTCGGTAAGTCCAGGAGGGCTTTAGTAAGAAGAATTCTTCAGAGTTACTGGCTACTACCGCACACTAAAGATACTACTACTAGTGAAGTCCAGTGCACTGTAGCCAATTGGTAGCAAAACAGGAGTCTTGTTGCACGTGCCTAAAAAGGAAGAAGGGATCTAAAAAAGAGGAAGAACAAGAAGAGGAACCCTCCCCTGCTAATATTCAGACTGTTAAGCAAAGCATTCAGGACATAAATTGAAGCAAAAAACACGGTACTTATTTCTACACAGCCTACGCTGCTAACATTCGGAATGTTAAATTAATGTTCCCAATGGCTCAATTAACGTAATTTCAATTGTTATGTTACGCTTAGTAGTAGGGGTCATAAAACAAGAAAAATTCAGCTCCTCCAAGGATTGTAGTACCAGCAGTAGCAAACCAGTATAACCCTCAATAAAATCCAAACTAGTACTTCCCACAACTCAGATCCAAACTGGTATGCAGCAACCCCAAACCAGTACCCCATACCCCCAACTGGTTCCCTGCAACCCCAACTGAGATCTCAATATTGTTGGAAAAAATAGGTTGAAATTATCCAACCCGGTACCCCATTATCCAGCAAAAATTCAACACTACCATATCCTAAGAACAACTAGTAGATCTAATGTTCTATTTCAAAGAATTTACTTGTTCCACGTAAATACACCACCAACACCCTCCTCTTGCTGCTGTGCAACTAGTAGTGCCACAAAAAACTCAATGGTTTGCCATGTTCGTAGTACAGACATTGCAGTACCACTGCTACTATACTGATAGTTTGACTACAGCAAAATATGTATTAAAAATATGTTGCGGCAGTGCAGGCTTGATGTTTGACAATAGGGAGAGCATGACGGGTGGATTGGTGATGCCGGTGGTGGTAAAACCACCAACCACTACTTGCAGAACAACAATATATCATCAATATTTTGTAAACAACCACGCGTTTTGGACAAACAGAGCTTTTTCAAACATGATAACTTGTAAACAACAACCACCAACAATAACCACAGGAAAAAATCAGGTCAATGCAACTGAATATATAACCATAGAAGCTCTACTAGTAGTAGTAATAGGCTAAGCACTGACAGGTGGTGTGTTGACAATGGAAATAAGGTCAGTGATGTGAACAAAAATATGATTGCCAACCTCATCAGACAAAACAAAGAAAAGAAAAGGTTGTTGATGGAACAAGAATTGGAAAGAATACAAGGGAGTCAAAGAAGGTAAAAACAGGTCACAGTTTAGCAGCAGGAACCCCACAAGGTACAGTTGCAGTTGCAGTGGTCCCCAGTGAGAAAATATCAAAATTGAACAAGCGATTGCTGACCAGAAATTTTCAAGGGTGCATTGAATCCAAGTTCTTTTGGGACATCAAATTTTTTATGAACAAAAAGATCAACAAACAGGGGTTCAGTGGGGATGACGAACTTGGTCTCTACTTGGAGAACACCCTTTTACCACAAGTGCTCAACAAAATTTGACACAACACTCAGAGTTGTTATGCAAGAAAAAATGGCTTGGTGCAAACTGCTAGAAGAATTGTCTGCTGATGAACCAGCTTCCCCAATAATGGTCTAACCATGGATATGTCCAATTTCCTGTACAACTGGATTGTGTTTTTTTGAGTAGCGGAGCCTGTACAATACACAACGGGTATACAGCAGTGCTATCCATTGGAATGTTAAGTTAACATTCAGTTCATTATGCATGAAGTCAACATTTATTCCAATTGTTCATTTGTGAACAGTATGCACAGTATGTTTTGTATTTCCTTGCTAGTAATTGGTGGGTTATTGTGTCTTCTACTCTTCTACTATTCTTGCATTCATGTAATTGTACAGCAGTATTCTGCAATGACCATCACATCTGCCCTCCTTGTTCTCTTCTCAAATAACCAACTACTAGTGCATCTAGTACAGTACCGGTGCATATTTCACTAAGTACAAGAATAGTGTACAAAAATAGTAAACTGGGTACCAAAAAACTGGTGTCATGTTGAAACCACTGGGCCATCTACCTCAGGATTATGTCTTCTTGGTAGCACTGTTTGGGAAATAGGAATTTGGTATGAACCTTATCTGGCCTGTGTCAGCATTTCAAATTTTGAACCACGTATCGCAATATCAGTTGGAAAAGAGTTTTTATTGGAGTGGCAGATCCTAATACAACGACAACAAGCATTCTCTATGCCGAGTGCTGCTGTGGAGTACTTTGAGCCGTATTCTAATGCTAGATCTACTAAGTTTTATCAATCGCTATTGCTGCACTCAAAATTGAGACAGGATTAGATGCATACATACCAACATGCGCACATGCACTGCGAAGTGCGTGTGACGGAATGATATCACCCCGATTCAGCAACTTCTTTGACAATCTGTGAGATAGCTAGAGGAAACACCTTTTTGATCATGCCATTACCGATACCACTTTTGCTGTTGGCTTTCACATACCCTACCCAGCATAGCGAATTACGGCGAAGACGCCACGGGTGTTGTTGCAAGCCCCAACTCCTGGTCCACGCCAACAAGGATGGTTTGCACTCCTTTCGACAGTGGTCCTCTCCTCTTACTGGTCCATGGAATTGAGGCCACCGTGGGTTTTTTTTTTTTTCCTTCATCAATTTATTTCTTTTCCCCCTTCTTTTTCACGGATGCATAATGGGACGGATCCCAATCAAGGTATTGCGGTTTGCACAACCGCCAAGACTTGCTGTATTTTAGGCGAAAAGTGACAACAACGAGCCGATTGAAAACAAACAACATCGTGAGAGACGAAACCTCAAGGCTTCGCACAAACATTATCAATGTTGCACGCTGCACCGATATTTTTGGATGTCTTGTACCCTAGCCCGTCAACCAGCTGCTAGGCGAGGCTGCAGAAACGAATTACAGAAAACACGCACACACAAGCATTCCACACGTACCCTTGTTTCTTTTTCGCATATTCTTCGATGGTATCCTGCTGGACGTAAACCACGTGCTGGCCCTTCCAGGAACGAATCATGTCCAGATATTGGAGTGTCGAGATGATGTCTTCCTGCTTCATTCCCGTTTCGGTCGAAATGTCTTTGATGGTTAGGTCGTGGTTGTTCTCTTGTTTCTGGGTCTGTTCATCGTCGAGGCGGGGAGACCGTTCCGCCAGTAGCTTCAGCAAGACATACGTCCAGTAGGACCTGTAACTGACCTTTCCCAGGTCCGAGAGGGGCTTTTCCGGCGATCCCACCGTTTTTTCGCGCTTGGAAAGCTCGTAGGACAACGAAATGATGAACTTGCCGTACCCGTGCTGCTGGTGCTGCGGAAAGGTCAATATGCAAGCCAGGTTGTACCCCTCCGTGCTGACTTTTTCCTTGGAAAAGTACCCGACAATGTGGGCCCCACTGTCATCTACGTGACAGACGACATAAAACCAGAACGGATCGACGTCGTAGTACAGCGTCTTGTGGTCCAAAAAGAGCTTGGCCAGCAGGCACAGGTTCTGGCAGTACACCTTGTGATCCTTCCCGTCGATTTCGTAGACGCTCAGCCCCAGCTCCCGGTAGATTTCGGTGCCGGGGGGCGTCCGGTGGGGACAGGTGGCCCTATGCTTGCAAAATGTTTTGCGCTTGCGCATGTATTTCAGGCAAAACTCGCAGACGTAGAGCATCTCGGACGGACTGTAGCTCGCCGGGTAGGGGCTGTAGTACCAGCAGTCGACCTCGAATCCCCCCATGTAGATCTTTTCGATATTTTTGACCTTGGTGATTTCGTGGTGTTCCTTTTCGAGTTCGTGGAGACCATCCGCGGCCGTTGGCCTCCAGTTGCCCCCCGTGGCGGTACCGGTGGTGGTGGATGCGGTGGAATTTGTTGCGGTGGTCGCGATTTGTCTACCAGACGCCACTTGTGCTTGGCTCTGGTTGTCGAGGCTGCTCTTTTTTCTGGGACCCGCCGAGGAACCAACGCTCTTCCGCGAAAGCCGTCTCCCCACCTTGGAGGGTTCCGGAGTGGCCGCGGCCGAAGGCTCCGTAGAAGCTGATTGTTCCGTTTTCGTCGGCTCCTTCGAGCCGGTKGAAGTTTTTGGCGTTGCTCCGTGCTTGGATCCGCTGTCCGTGGCGGCCGATGCATTCGCATTTGTGGTTGCGTTTGTATTGCAACGCTGCAGAGTATTCCACACAAACCGGTCGGAGGTGATCCATTCATCGAGTCGCCGATCGTGGTTGTGGTAGTGGATGTAGTATTCAATTCCCTCCGTGCGAAAGTTGAGAGATAGCTCTTCCTGCGAACAAGAGCCCTGCGATTCGGCGGAGGATCCGGGGCCCTGGTGCTTCCTTTTCTTTGTTTTGGCGTTGGTCTGTTTCGTGTCGTTCTCGTTCTCGTGGTCTTCCGGCTTCGCGTCCGGCTGCGCTGGTCTTTGTCGGAGGTCCAGCAACCGCTTTCTCGAAGCCAAGAGGGGGCGGCGCTCGATAATTTCCGCTGGCAACCGGAGCTCGCCCCGGAACAAGACGTTGCAGTGGTCTCCGATTTCCGGCGGGATTTCCGGGGTCTCCCCCCCGCAGGAAGGAGGTTGGGGTGGTTCGTCGTTGTCGGCTCTTCCTTTCGGATTCATCTCGTTGTCGTCCCGGGATGGTTTCAAGATATTCTCTCTCTCTCTCTCTCGCTTTCTGGGCCAATGCACTCCTTTGGTTCTATGTTCTACAGCTGAATATTCCAATCAACTGTTCTTGCTGTACTAGGCACCCTTTGGTACGCTACTGTGGGTTATAGTCATCAGCAGTGATCCCGAATGTCGACAAAATCTTTGTTGCTGGAATTTCGCACGAGTTCCTCACCGATCACCGTTCTGAATGGTGAAACTCACAGTCCCCTATCTACCGTACCGCACGGTACCGTAATGTGCGGTACTGGATATTAGTTATTCATTACAGTTCTTTGTGCCTATGATTTAGAGAGGTAGAAAAATTATGTCTTACCATGCTATGAGGCTATTCCGTGAGAGGAATGGCTAATCCAAAAACTACTCTCGGTGGGGATCGAACCCACGACCTTGGGTTTATTAGACCCACGCTCTAACCAGCTGAGCTACGAAAGCTGTGACCTGCTACGGACGGTCGATCTTCGGTCTACAATCCAAATTTTCTGCAATACTCCTCTCTTTCTGTCCTTAGTACTACGAGTTCAGGGTAAAATTACAGCTTATCCCCAAAAGGGATCTCAATGGCAATCAATGTGTCCATTTTAGAAGACCCTTTTTGTGCTGAATGCTCTGGATAGTAGAATTGAAAAATCCCAAATCAAGAACATTGAAGTTGGGACTGTTAGGTGGTTGTGGTAGCTTCACAACAAGAATATTCCAGTTGTTATCACAAGCTGCAGCTGTTACAGCTGCTTTGTTGTTAAATTTATGAGGCTTTGGATTGTCTTCCTGGATGATGAAACTTGTTGGAACCTCTCTGTTGCCTCTGGGGAACTTCTTGTAAATTGCTGGTAAAACTTTCTTGATCATGAGGTCATTCCTGTAGTACACTTCTTCATTGACATATGTAATAGTAGCTAGGAGGCTGGGTTCCATTGTACCTCTGGGGCAATTTATAGAAGATCTCTGTGCTGGTCTGTATTCAACAATAGGCCAAAGACCAAGCTTTCCATCAAACCAAGCATTCCTACTAGTATGATCAAATCTGAGCGTTGCTGTTGCAAATAGAAACATTACCTTCTTGATGTGATGATTTGAAGGTGTCTTGCCAACTGGTTCAAGCTCTTCATCAAGTAGATATATGTTGCTTGTTACTTCCTTCACGAAGAACCATTTCTCATCAACATGTACCTTATCACATATTGGATCAAAAACACCATCATCATCAATATGAGACACAGCAAATTGAATCCTTTCCATTTTGTTTGCTTCTTTTAGGAAAGGCTTCAATGCACAGCTGTATCTCTTGATTGTTCCACATTGAACAAGACAGTGCAAGCTGGTCACTGGAATATTGATTGCTGCTGATAAGACACTTAGATCTCCTCTTTGCTTGTATGGAATACTTCTGATTGTTTCAAGAAGAACTACAAGGTCCCTTGGCTTCATACAGCACCTGGACCTGTTGCTTGACACATCACCAGCTGGGCATGCATCATCACCATGCTCAGTTTCCTTGTATTGTTTCCAAATTTTTGCACAAGGGGAAACTTTGAATGATTCAGCAGCATTCTTATAAGCACCCTTCGCAAGTTTGCCTTTCTCTTTCTGACATGAAAGCTGTCTGTGCAGAATAGCCTGTCTTTGATTGTTAGTCAAGTCGGGTCTTGAGGGAGGAGGGGTTACAATGGTCACAGGAGGAGCCAGCAACTTGCTTTGTTCAAGGAGATCTATTGCATCCATTACTGTAGCCATCTTGTTGGTTGGTGTGTGATTGCTTTAGAAAGGAGCAGCATTTAATAAAGTGAGGGAATGAAAAAAGCAGCAAGATGAACAGCAGAACAAGCAACAAAGAGACAATCCATTACCATTTAGCAGGTTGATTGTCATTAATTGTCGATGTGTTTCTTAGTAGAAGCGTTGGCGCCTGATGCGAGACAAGTCTTCAAACTCCCCCCCCCCTCTTATCAGTGGAAGCAACGGGGTATGGAGAGCGGACCAGCTGATGGATCTCTTCAGAGTGGAGACAACAGAAGCGCAAGGCGAGTCAATGGATCCCCTGTTAGTGGAAGCGCCTGGGTCCCCTATTAATGGAGATGCCAGGCAAGGCGTCCCAGATGTGCATCACTACTACTAATAGAATTTCCTGTAACCACGTAAAACTTGAAATTGCGAGAAGAATTGACCATCATTAAGCCGTAATGCTCAAAACTGTTCCTGCTGCTGCTGCTACTACTACTATGTTCCAAAACATCGGTGTATTGACAAGGCGACGAACAGCTTCGCACCCTCACTAGGAAGGATTTTGGGAACCATCAATCACCAGCAGAACATTTCAAGGCGGTGAAGTCCAAAAATTAAATATATCCAGAGTAGTATGTAATTTTTTTTCTGTTAAGACACGAGTTGTTTGACAATCGTTGCGACCTCGGCTTGCGGAGTTAGTGTAGGAATAGTCAAGTATAGAATCCGGAACCGAACGAAAGACTGATAAAAATTGCATGTCAGTGATGATACTGTTCGTTCCGGTAAAATTGCAAGCTGCGTATGCAGGGCCTACCGTCGGAATTTACTTTCATTTGTCGCTAGACCCTGACTGTTCCCTTCTCAACAGCCTTCTTCCGATGAGTTTTAGTATTTCATCGACTAGTACGATCGGAGCCGACCACAGCAAAACCGTCCTCCAGTGTTCTTTCGTTAACGAAACCTGGAGAGCAGGAAATCATTCTGGTGAGAGATCTCAAAAGGCAGAGTTTCTTTCCGAGCGCGCGGACAATACAACAGGGTCCGAGACTTACCAATCCAAAGGCTTTGCCGAATCCTGGTACTCCCAGTGCAGAACTGTACAATACTGACAAGTGCAAAAGAAAGGGACCTGCGACTCCCATTAGCAACCACTTGTTACGCCACGGGGCAACCTTGAGCAGCGAGTCATTCATAGAAACCGCAGACAGTGCTTTCAGCATTTCCATGACCACCAGCGTTGTTAAGGAAAGAGTCTGAGGCAGCGTTCGACCCGCATCACGAAATAAATCCGAACACGCACTCGTCTCCGTTAGCCACGAACTGCCGCCTGGCGGCGTCCAGGCCGTTCCGCAATTGGACCAGTTTGAAAGCTGTTTCAAACTTATTCCTTGCTTCAAATAATGCTGTGCAAAAACACCGATCGTTGCGACACCTACGTAGAGTCCCGTCAACATATACCGAATGAGAAGCCACTTCGTCATAATTGGTTCATTAGACGGCCTCGGTTTTTCCTTCATCGAATCTGGAGACGGGGGATTGAATCCCAGTGCTGTTGCGGGGGGTCCGTCGGTTACAAGGTTTACCCACAGCAAATGCATTGCTGTAAGAGGCTCGGGAAATCCCAACAGCGTTGCAAAGAAAATGGCACAAATTTCACCGATATTGCAAGAAATCAAAAAACAAATGAATGCTTGCATATTTGCATATATCGTTCTACCTTCTTCGACGGCGCTCACAATGGTTGAAAAGTCGTCGTCTGCCAATACCATATCTGCAGCCTCTTTCGAGACAGCAGTTCCCGTTCCCATTGCAACACCGATAGCCGCTTGTTGTAATGCTGGTGCATCATTGACTCCATCACCTATTTCAAGTACAAAGTAAACGTTAGAGTAGAATGTATCGCATTCAAAAAGTGTTGTGTTGTAGGTCTCTCAAATTTACTTACCAGTCATAGCTGGAATCTCTCCCAGATCATGCTGTAGCATCTTGATGAGAGCTTGCTTGTCGGAAGGCTGAGCACGACAAAAGACGATATTGTCCTCGGAGAGAATTTTGATTTGTTCCTCTCTGGATTTCAAAAAGAATTCTTGGCCTTCAAAAGCCTTCAGAGGCTTCTCGTCTGTCGAAGAATCCTTGTCAAATATGTTTACATCTTTTGCGATTGCGACAGCAGTATCACGGGCGTCACCCGTGATCATAATCACGCGGATCCCGGCGTCGGTACATTTCCGGATGCTATCGGCAACCTCTGGCCGTGCTGGATCCTTGATTCCCACCAACCCTACAAGTGTGAGACCACTTTCAATATCTTCGTACTTGGACGGGTCTTTCAGCAAGGGGTGTTTCCGAACATCATTGTCATTGCGTGGTTCGAAATGTCGTAGGGACGATTGCAGCTTTGATTCGTCTTTCACAGCAAGTGCTAAGCACCGCAGAGGACGCGTTGCCATGTTAGTAATCTTTCTCTCGAGTTGTCGTCGCAACGATCCAGAAATTTTGGCGACGCTCCCATCAGAATACTTCACATGTGTGCACCGGTCCAATACCATATTCGCCGCTCCTTTCACTAGTAATCGATTGCGAGCCTTGCTGTTCCCATTTTCTTTATCCTTAAATTTTGCGAGCACAGACATACTCTTTCGAATCCGATGGAATTCTAATGTGGCCATGCGGGGATGCATTCCACGCCACTGGTCAACAAATTGGCTCGCCATTTCACTATTTGGTTTCCCTTCTGCCCGATCAATATCGGTTTCCTGTTTCTCTCCATCAGGATTTTGTAGCGCACCCAGTTTCTCTGCTAATACGCATAGCGCTGCTTCCGTTGGCTCTCCAGTTCGTTCAAAATCAGGGTGATTGGAAGACTCGTCGTCACTATGATCATTACCCTCAATTCTTGCATCATTACAAAGAGCTGCAACAGCAGCAACATCTGATATCAAAGGGTTGTCGGTAAATTCTTTTTTTCCTGACAATCCTTCGATTCTACCAAAGGGTGAATAGGAAACTCCCTCAACAAAATGTTCCACTATCGGACCAGTCTTGATCTTTTCGAGCAACACCAAGGATGTGACAGTCATTTCGTTGGTCGTCAGAGTGCCCGTCTTGTCGCTACATATGACCGACACACAACCTAGTGTTTCGACTGACGGAAGGTTTCGAACAATAACATTCCGCTGAGCCATTCGACGGGTCCCCAAACTTAGGCATAGGGTGATAACTGCTGGGAGTCCCTCAGGAATTGCTGCAACACCCAACGCGACTGCTACCTTAGCATAATAGACCATGCCTTCAAAAGGGCTGTTGAAGATAGTTGAGTCCTTGACCATCATTTTTGGAATCGAGGCAAGCCACACACCGGCACAAATAAATCCAATTAATCCAGTCAATTGATTCCCGAAGTCATCAAGCTGAAGTGCTAGGGGTGTTTTTTGATCGTGGGAATCCCGCTTTGCCTCCAAAACGCCTGACTGGATTCGACCGAATTCTGTGGATTCACCCGTAGCTACTACAAGTGCAATGGCTGCACCGCTAACAACAGTTGTGCCAGAAAATACCATTCCTGTTTGAGACTGAACCGGTGCCTTCTGGGGAGCCAATCCTTCTTTCCCCAGTAGCTTTTCGACTGCGATGGACTCTCCTGTAAGACATGTCTCATCGACTGATAGTGACCTCCGTCCCTGGTAGTACCGTACCACTCGACAATCAGCTGGGACCTTATCTCCAGTCTTTAAGACAATAAGGTCTCCTGGGACTAGATCCGAAGAAGGATATTCAGCAATCTCTTCTGACGTGATCGTGTTGTCATTCTCTGCTTCTCGACGACGAAGGACAGTACAGACGCTGGGTTGCATTGCTTTCAGAGCCTCGATGGAATTCCCCGCAGATTTGCTCTGCCAGACTCCAACAGAAGCATTGACTACTAAGAGAGAGGAAATCACTAAAGGTTCCGCAAAGCGATGCAAAAATGATTCTGTAATTGCTCCACTGCTACTACATTCCAACAGGGCCGACAGGACCGCCACACCCATCAAAATGCGTACTAGTCGGTCTTGAAATTGCTCTGCAATAAGCTCAAACCAAGAGGGAGGTGGGATTTCTTTGATTTCATTCTTGCCGTATATTGCCAGCAGCCGAGAAGCCTCATCGGAGGTGAGCCCGTGAGTCTTTATGACCGATGCGTCGGCAAAAATCCTGTCACTACTGCTGCTCTGTCGTCCATTTTCTTGTAAATTTTGAACTTGCACCAACCATTTCTCTAAAATTGTATCGATCGGCTTGCTACCGGGATCCTCGACTGTGCTGTGTGGTTCAGCGACACCAACAACAGTTGCGCCTCCTCTTGAGATGTTATTCACCAATTCGCTTCGTCGAGCCTCTGGATTGTCAACACGAGTTATTCCTGCTGGCGTTTTTGAGCCCTTCAACCATCCATGTATGTGCGCATTCCTATTGTTTCTAATATTGTTGATTGAACTTGCACGCCAATACCTATGCTGTCCGGAGGCTTCCACCAGACCGACTCTCCCTAAGCAACTTTCGTCAAAGGCCAGCAAGGCTGTAAGTAACAAAAGGAGTGGAAGCCACGAAGGCGACGACAAGAGAAGTCGTGTTGTTCCCATTTTTCTCCCTTCTAACCCTCCAAATCTACTCGATTGGATCAATTTTCCTTTCTTCCTATTACGCAAGTGAGGTTAGAACGCTGAACGGAACAACGGACACCGATGTTTCAAAGATTGCAATACTACCGGTACTACAAAGCATTAATCGGATGATTTTCTTATCGCACGAACTTGTGGATTGATGATGCATCTTGAACTCGTGAATCAAAGCATAAAAAATTAGTGTATCAGGTACGTACGTACGTACGTACGTACTGTAATAGATATGACATACAGTAACAACATAATATGGTGATGTGCACCAATGCTGCCTTTAAGCGACACGTGGTTAAATGCATAGTATGGTAAGACTAGTTACTCAGTTTTTGTCGAGTAATCGCGCGCTAAATTACTGCGCGTTACCAAAAAAGTTGAGTAACCAGTTGCTAAGAAACACATGTTATTTTTCTGCAATATTTGTTGCACCTTGACAGGATGCTTAACTTTTTCCCGTCTCCGCCCAAATCGTGCATTTTTTGGATTTTTTTTTAGTTTCCATGATTTTCACTTGTGTAGACTGCAGTACAAATCCTACACAAAATAAGACTGAAATACCAAAAAGAGTTTAAAACAATTACTTTATATAAAACACCTTTTCTGCTCATTCATTTCTCTGCTTGTAATATCCAACCAAGAAAATATAAAACACTCCATACCAGAATATAAACTATAAACCAAATCATCATATTTAGTACCAACATAAAATAACCATATTAATAAGATGGATGATGATGATTCTTTTTCTGTGTGATGGTTGACAACAATTGTTCATACTACCTTATGGTCATACTCCTAAGAATGATGCAGACCTGTCTGACAACAGTGGTGGTGGCYWRYACCCTTATAGTACTAGGAGCCCCACCCAAGATGACCATGGATCCATATCTGATCATCAAAAAGTATGCTGGGTGTCCCTTGGTACTATCCTCCTTCAGTACCACCCCAGGTCACGCCCGTGCTGTAAGCAATTCATTGGATGGCTGCACTAATAAGGTGGAGGGGTTGGAGCATTTGTTCTTGTTCTTGTTTGATGAAAACATCCTTCAGATGATAGTAGCAAATGATTCCAACTGGTATGCATTTGAAGATTGGGTGGTGACAGAAGTTGAAGCTGCTGATGCTAGCTAATGGAAGGGTAAAGAAGACAAAGATTCTCAACCTCTGTGATGTCACCAATCCCAACCAACAAAAGTGTGTACTACATTCAGTCAAAGACCAATGAAACTTCACTTCTGGTTACTACATCCTTGCCTGGCTTGGTATTTGCATCTGCTAGTATGGAGGTTTGGGCGGTTCAAAAGAATCTCCCCAATTCTTCGGACTTGTCTTGAGGATGGTGATGTGTATGTTCCCATGGTCAGGAATACAATGAGCAAGAACAGGTGCAGCTTTGTTAAATGATATATTHATTTTGGTGACAACAGAAGCAAAGCTAATGATACTGATAACACTCTACAAAATCCGTACTGTGATGGAGAAAATTGCTGATTGTCTTCGTCTTGGGTGGCATGTAAATATTGACCTATCTGTCGATGATTCTATGATTGTTTACAAAGGAAGATACATTCAATTTGTCCAGTATCTTCCCAAGAAGCCAATCAAACATGGTATTAAGGTGTACTGTGTGTATGATGTTGACACTGGGAACTTAATTGCATTTGAGATCTACACTGGTATTAGTAGTAGTGGGTCTACATGGGATATTATTCAGCGGTTGGTACGTCAATCCAATCTTGGGCAACAAAATGGTTGTCGACTGTTCACGGACAACTTCTACACTACAATGAAAGTTGTGACCAAGAAGCTATATGAAGAATACAGATGGGTATCAGATTATCACTAGTAGCCTAGCATGTGACGAGTTTATGAAGAAGGAATAGAAGATATACAAATCAAAACAAGTTTCAATCTCATCTTGGTGGCATTGCATTGATGAATAGAGGTATTGAAATGGACTTGAAAGCTCCATATGATGAAGGTTCTAAGCCAGAGTGGATGCCTCAGACTTCAAAGAATGGAAAATATCACCCTTGCTATTGCGGGATTTGTTCTTTCTTGTTCTGTGTGAACAGCAAGAAGAAGACGAGCACCATTGCTCATGGAAAGGTAATGTCAAAGCCACATAAAGAAAGATGCAGTGGCAAGTATGAAGGAGTAAAGAGGAACTATTGTGTTATCTGTGTAGAAGAAGCAAAGCTTAGGTATCCTAACTCATCAGTGAAGAGATTGAGGAAGTTGCCAGCAGCATCCTCATGGTGGATTAGTAGAAAAGAAATGTCAAGGAATGGTGGTGGTTGCAGAAGTTGCAATGTTGCTGTATGTAAAGAGCATTGGAGTAACTTCAACCATCAAGTATAGTGATGTGTTATAAATGAATATATTTATATTTGTTAAAATATGTTCTTATAATATTGTTTATAGTGATGAGAGGGGTGTGATAGTAAGTGGAGTAGTAGTGTAGTAGTAGTACCCCAAAAAAAATCCTTATTTTTCCAGGTGGCAACATTTGGCAACACGCGACGGGAAAAAGTTAAATACTCAACAAAATTAGAAATGAAATTGGTAATTAGGAAAGCAGCTGTACAAATCCTACTGACAGCTGTCAGCATCAAGTTTGCCCGCATCAATAGGAGAGAAGTGGTAGTAATCAAATCAATTGCTATTTTCAATTGATATTTTTCAATGCCCTAATTGCTAGTACACAACAAAACAATTAACAGCAGCAACACTAATTAAAAATTGAAAGAAAAAGCAAGAACAACAGCAGCTGCTGCAGTAATCAGCATATCAATGTCTTCTCTGGAATACAAACTGACCATGGCAGATTCCTGCAGGACAAAGAGGAGAATTTTCCTGGAGAATTTCAGTCACTTATACTGTACATTGGAGGTAAGTTCAAATACTAGCTACAGCCCCCACCCCAACAACCCTTTTTTTGAATCAATAGAGGAGTACTAGTATTAACCCAAGACAGCAGGTTGCATTTGCTTCCCTTTCCTTCCTTTAGGTAAACCAGAAGGAGAAAGAGTCTCACAGATCTGGTTTCTTAATCAACTGTGTACCTATCAAATACAAGTCCAGATAGGGAAAGAAGGTCTCTGAAGACCCTCCTATCTACACCACAGCAATTGAGTGAGACCCTGATTATTTCCTGAGCAACCAAGAAGGAGGATTCAGCATGTATATAGATGGTAACGTGTGGTGTTCTTCTGTCCCTCCAGCAGTGACACTCTTCAAGTCTCTTCTCTTCATCCTCCTTCTCTTCCTCCATGGCAAGAAGACCCCATCAGGTCACATTAAGTTTTTCAAGTACCATCAGCATCATTCTGCCTCCCTTTTCTCAAGGGGAAACCTTGCACAAATTTGAGGGTAGTGAGAGCTTTGATCAAATTTTGCATTGAAGTTTTTGCTGAAGAAAAAGATTCTGTGAAATGATTCTTCTAGCAAGAAGGCAGGAAGAAGGAAAGTGAACTAATGATTTGTCCACTGAAAATAAGATTCCTAATTCTGTAAAATTGACACACGACGCACTGGGTATGCCACCATCTAGGCCCAGCCCACCTTTGAATCCCATATACGCAAAAGCCTAAATGTAGGTCTAGGTCACTCGGTTCTTGGATACTACCCAATGCTAGACGTACCGTACAACAAACACAATGCTTTTCAGTATGACAGAATGGATCAAGATTGATATAAGAATTGTTGCGTTAGTTTAGTTGAGGATACCGACGTTTCAAGCAAGCTGCAAAATTCTTTCTAATTAATGGGAGCTTTTCCATGGGAGCTTTTCTCATACGTAGCAAGTGAGCCCAAGAACTCGTCTCAAAAAGTAAACATTTTATTCGACATGAAGTGCGTTTGTCATTGTTGGTATATTGGCGATGCCGTAGCCTTTTTTGTTTTCAATTCATTCAATATCAGCGACATCTGAGGTTGCTCTTTAGGTGTTGATTACATCTATCCAATATGAATATTTCTTAGCGGCAATTCTATTAATGTGTTGTCGTCACTACCTCTCTTCTTGCTACTGCAGTCATTCCCACTTGACTTCGTACGCCTGACGAACTCCTCTACCACCGCACGAACTGTTTGGTGCCGCTCTTCCGAAGGGCCAAGGTTCTCTAGTTTCCGGGCCACAATACTGGGTAGGTAGCATTCCGTATCAGAAATAGACTGGTGAACAGAATCCCTTGCAAGGTAGGAATACGTCGTACTTGGCGGACAATTGCGCAAGAATTGCAATGTTTGCTCTTTTTCAGGATTCGTCCGTTCCCATTGTTCCGAAAGAACAGAAACGATAGTGGGAGCTGCTGTTGTTGAGCCCGTAGGACTGGAAGGAATCGAGATTCCCCGGTTGAGTACTTCGTCCGAGAGAGAGAAATTCCAGGCATCAAATACCATTACAGACTGGGGAATAGGGGGTGACGACGAGGACGTAGAAGTATCAATTGTCATCGTTGAAGTGGTGGCGGGATTCTCGCTGTCGGAAAGCCTCATAGACATGGGATGCGCCTCTGTTGTTGCCTCGGTTTGCACTTTTTCATCGTGACCTTCCATAATCCATTTTTGTGCTGCTAGTAATTGCGTCGCTCCTCCAAAGGAATGCCCTACCAGGTGCAATTTGGTCGGGTCGGCGATGGCAAGAATTTTACGAACTAATCTACTATTCGAGTCATAGCAGTTTGTCGTTATTGTTTCGTCCACAGAAGTTTTCTCATCCCGAAAATAGTTATATATCCTCCGCAACTCGTTGACCCGCTGTTCGAGCATTGGGGTTCGGAAATCTAGGACTTTTTTACGTGAGTAGGGGACTTCGGCATTTGGGAGCGGCTGTTTGTACGGAATTGCTTCAACTGTTCCGTCCTTCAAAAGTTTTGTGGAGTAGGAAGCGCTCCCATCTTCGTGCTCTAGCGCTGCTACAACGCATCCAGTTGAAGCAAGCTGAGCGCAGATTTGAGAATACATTTCCATGTTTCCACTAAGACCATGGCTGAACAAGACGAGGGGAAATTTCATAGAATCGCCATTGTTGCTATCAACCATTAACGGAGCAATGGCGTATGTATTTTGAAGAGGATGTGATTTTTCATTCAACATTTGCATTATTCCATCTCCAAAACCATTGAGGTAGTCCACCAAAGCTTCCACGGCTTCTGGCCGGTAATATGGAACGACGTCGTCGACATGATCCTTCTCAGAGTCTTTCTCCACAGGGTAAAATATTTGGCACGCGGGAAGTTCGGGTGACATTCGAACCTTGACAGCACCCACATCATAGACAGATAGTTCCGGGTGATAGGTCTCCAATTTTGGGTAGCCGAAGGCCAACAAAGATTTTCTCGAAATCGTTTTCACCAACCTCATGCCAAACAGCATTTATTCTTTCGGTATGTTTACTATTGCCTTTCACGTGTTTTTTCCAGAAACCTAATTTTCCAATAGGAGGTAAACGTTACTTCTACCGATGATTTTCTTCTGTTTTCTTGTTCTTCTGTTGCGTCTCTGTGGCACTTCGTTCATATTATGACTGTATCATGTTTGATGCCGTCGAGGGAGAGCCCAGACGTTACGTTCGTAAATAATTCTACTGGGATTCTACTGGGAAGCGAAATTCTGCCTGGTTTTCGCCAAGTACGTACTGAGGGAAACATAGTATTTAGCCTTAGTTCTTGTTGTGGCCTTGTCTCTCCTTCCATACCGTGTGCTTCTGAGGTACAACGGGACACTTGGGCCTTTACGCCTCAGTGCTACCATACCTGTATTACGTCATAGGTAATTTATGTGCGTACTTACTGTTTGAGTTCGATCTAAGGTTGCCGAAATTGAGATTTGACTACTACTACTACTAGGACTTAGATCTACATCATGTTGGAATGGCTTCACAGTTTTGTGGTGGTTCTGATTTGAGATATTACTGTTGGTTGGAACGAATTTATTCCTGTGCTGAAGGGCAGGGAAGGGGGTGAATCTTCATACTAGTAGTACTAGTAGTATTCTGTTAGTACGACCTTAGAGTCGTCTCATCTCCTTGTCACCATAGTAGTACTACTAGTACCTCATTGCTGTAATACTTCAAGAATGAGGGCAAGGCTGTTCCTTAGTTCAGAGGGCAAGTAGTTCAATAGAACTAGTAGCATTTTTGGGTCTTCATCATCTTGCATCTGCCCATTGCTCACAACACTCTCACAAATAACAATCCCAGCACCAACTCGTCCCACAAAACTATGAGGGTTATTTTTACATTTTTACAGTTCAAATTAAAATTAAAGTAAAAAATTGTTTCAAATTGTTTGGATTATTGGTCCAAAATATTATGATTATAGGTCTTACCACTGGAGAGGTGATTTCATTGATGACTACTTTAGAATTTCCTTGAATGTTTACTACTAGTAGTAGACAACATCTACTAATGCTTACTGCTACTAGAGAGGATGTTATAGCAGTAGCTACTAGTAGTAGTGAGCACTGCAAACTGCTGCAAAGGGGGGAGGGGGTTCTTCTCCTGTTGCTGGTGCTGCAAGAGGGGAGCAGCAGAGAGATGACCATGGCTTGCTCTAGGACAGCTGCATGCTACTAGTATCACATTGTGGTTGTTGTGGACATTATAGAGATTACTCTCACATTGACATTATGGTGACTGTAATAGTTGGCCAGCTTGATGGTCCTCCCATGCTAGAAAGTTAGCAGTAGCTCTTGATGACTACAACAAGAAGGCTGAAGAATGCAACCTTTATCAGACTGAGCTAGACTTAAAAAAGAATCATGATAGTATTTACTAATTACTTTATTTACTTCCAGTGTACTCCAAACCAAGTTAACCCAATTTTTCTAAACTCCAGTGAAACCAACCCCTGGTTGCATTTCCACCAAAACTCCTTGGAGGGAAGTGCCGCCCCTTGGAGCAGCTAGAAACATTCTTTTTAACGAATGCTATGGTTCTGGCCATCCAAGTGCCTCTTCTAGTTCACGAGGTTAAATATAATATTAAGATTTTTTTAATTTAATTACTTTACTTGAGTACTAATTTATGGTGTAACTTATTACTATCAGTCCAATGGCCCTTGCCAATAATTGCTCTGGATCTAAACCAGCAATACTGCTGTGTTTGTAACTTATTATTACTACTTCTAGTCCAACCACTACCTAGATCTAACAGCAGTTGTTCTAGATCTACACCAGTACTACTGTGTTTTGCAAAATGATCTTGGCTCTTTGGAGGGCCCTTCCCAGCAGTTGCTCTGGTGGATCTACATTGTCAGCAGTACTACTACTGAATTTGTTATGATTGATCCTTCACATGTGATTCTGCAAGTGCAAACTGCTCAGTTCTTTTGGCTCTCCAAAGGGTCCTTCCCAAAAGTTGCTCTGGTGGATCTGCATCAGTACTACTACTACTGAATTTGTGGTGATTGATCCATCACATGTGATTCTGCAAGTGCAAACTGCCCATCTCTGAGGGCCCTTCCCAGTTGCTCTAGATCTTAATCAGTACTGAGTGTGTATTGATTGGTCCTTTGCATCTGATTCTGCAAGTGGGAACCACTCAGTTCTTTTGGCTCTCCAGAGGCCCCTTGCTACCACCAGCAGTAGCTGTGGATCTTTATCCATGCTTTTCCAGCTCTTCAGAGGGACACAACCAATACCTTTTGCTCTGGTGGACATCTCCAAAGAACCTGCTGCTGCTGTTTGTGTAAGCCTGTATTGTATCTTGTACTTACACCCAGTTGTCACAGAACAGTGTCAGTAGTTCAAACATCCACTACTACTACTATATGTAGTACCCTTCTGTATTGTAAGGCTATTCAGGACATTACTCTGGATCTGTTATTATAGGCTGGTTTCTTGCGGCAGGAACTTGAACCTAGTAGGTTCCACATCAGTATCACTGACAACTGTTGTCTATGGGTGTTTCTTATTTGTGTTTGATTGTCTTTCCTCAAACCTAATACAAGCATTTCCTCAAGCAACAGCACCAATACAGAGAAAATATCAGCAATTACTATTAGTAGTCAGTTTATCAAAGAACACAGTGTAAGCCTTGTGAGATAGTTACACCAAAACTATATCCTTTGCTCCAATGATTAGCAATATTCTTGCCCCCCATCACCAGTAGATAAGCTTGAATGCTTCTCACAAGTCTAACACCAGTACTCATCATGCAATAGCACCAATTCAGTGAAAATACCAGTAATTACTAGTCACCAGCACTCTGTCAGAAAACACAGTGTGAGCCTTATAAGTGGACAAAATTTTGGTCGTTGTTTGCTCCAAAAATTACTCTTATTCTTGTCCCAGACCACAAGAAGTAGACAAGAAGCCTGTACTATTTTGACAAATCTAACACCATTATTCCTCAAGGGATAGCACCAAGAATACAATGAAAATACCAGCAATTGATTGTCATTTGGCTAAATAATACAGTGTGAGGAGGATGATAATTTTTTAAAAAATAGGAGTCAGGTACATTTAGCACCACATATCTCCCATGGTACCAATAGATAGGAAAACACCAGCAATTGATTGTCAATTGGACAATGAATACTGTACTGTGAGGAGGATGATAACAACTTTATCAAAAATAGGAGTTGGGCCATACCATTTAGCAACACATACCTCCCATGGTACCAATACTACTAGATAGGAGTGGTGTAGTATCCTGTTACCCACCTCCTCTATGGTATCTTGGGATAAATAATGTTATAACAACAATACTCAGAGTTGCTAATGTAGTTGCACAAAAAAGCTATTTAGTGTTGAGTGGAACTGATTTTGCAACTCAAACTTAAAATATTGAGTCCTGCACCAATACCTGTAAAGGCAGCAGCATTGAGGAACTGCACTCCTGTTTTATTCAATACTGTGCAACCACTATTTGTTAGTAGCTCACAAAATGGAGCTCCAAATAAGCACATTAACAGCAGATCAACTGCAAGCAAGCAAGTTACATGAAAGCCCCAGTAGCAGCAGCAGCAGGAGGAGGAGCAAGGCTGTGGCATAAGGTGAAACAATGGGGAGGGGGGCTGTTGTGACCTTTCTACAAGACATGAAAAACCATCAGCAATGGTGTTGGTACCACTCAGTGCTGCTTGGATTAATGGATTTTGTTCACTAGCATAGACAAGAGGATGGTTGTCTGAATTGTGATTTGCAATTCAGTGATATGCTCTTTACTCCAGAAGAGCTTAGCAGCCATGATCTAACGCCAAATCATATCTAGATTCCTTGCAAAGAAGCATGGTACAGTTGACAGGATCTGGATATTGTTGCTGGTAATGATACTCCTACTGAAGCAAAATCTTCATTGTTGCTCCTTTACTACAAGAAAGCTCTATTTATTTTTATGGCAAATGGAAATGCCAACCCTACCTGGTTCCAGGAAGTCGTGAATGATCTGATCAGAGCTCTAATTAGGAATGAAAAACTCATTGTTGACAACAACTAGAAATGGAACATCAATTGGACAAACCTGTTACAAAGAGAGAGTTTTACAAGTATTACAGTACTGGGTGTCCATATTCTGTACAGTCTGTCTTTTTTCCACATGGTCTTGCCTGCAAAATCCTGCTGGCATTTGCTCTTCCACTAATCAATATATTTTACTATGGATATTGCCATCATTGCTTCAATATAAATTTGAGATATCTTTAATTGTTAGAGGACACTCCATTTTGATGGCTTCACCAGAAAAATGAGATAGCTTGAAAATTTATTATTGATAGGGTGTTCCATGAGTTTAATTTTTTGTAACATGCTGTGTTGCAAAATGTTGCCACCTGCAAAATTTAGAATTTTTTCTTTGCTACTAGTATTGCTACAACTACACTACTCTACTTATTTCATACCTCTCATCACTATGGTGATATTATAAGAATGCATTTCAACAAATATAAAAATATAATTATTCATTACAACACATCACTACTACACCTGAGGGTTGAAGTTTCTCCAAAGCTCTTTACATACAGCAACATGGTGGCAACTTCTACAACACCAGCCATTTTTCCTTGACATTTTCAGCACAGTAGTATAGTACTAACAGGAATCCCTGGCAACTTACTCAATCTCCTGCTCACTGATAAGTCAGGATACCTTGCTTTGCTTCTGCTACACAAACAAAACAATAGTTTCTCTTTGCTCCTTGTTCTTCACACTTTCCACTGCATCTTTCATCATAGCTTTTTGTTCATCAATGCAATGCCAAGATCCATGAGGAGCTTGAAATCTTTTCCTCACACTGTATAGTATGGATGATTTGTGTACTTTCCACAATTCCTTCATAAACTCATCACATGCAAGACTGGTTACATTTATGTAACAGGAATGTAAATACAAAGATACCATCTGTTTGTGCAAAGTGATGTTGAATATTTTGTACTATCCTTGTTTATCTGAGATGTCCCCTTTGGACTGCACCCCTGTTTAATAGCTTTGGAAATGGAAAACCTTCTGGAAAGCATAAACTAATCTTCTTCTTTGTCTGATCAACAGCTGCATTTGTATTCTTGATGTAACTCAGCCACAACTTTCATTGTACTAGTGTAAAAAGTGTCCAAGAACAATCAACAGCCATTATCTTGTCCAAGGTTGGATTGAAATATCAACTGCTGAGTAATGTCCCAGGTGAACCCACAACCAACACCACCAGTGTCAATCACAAGAAAGGCAAGTAAGTACCCAGTGCCTGCATCACACAGACAGTTGTATAGTACCTTGATACAATACTTGATTGGCTTCTTAGGAAGATACTGGACAAACTGGATTTCTTGTCTTCCTTTGTAAATAGCTAATCATAGACTCATTAACAGACAGATCAATACTTGTATGTCACCCAAGACAATGGCAACCAGACATTTTCCCCATCACAGCCCCAATTTGTAGATGGAGTCATTGGTGCAATTGTCTTGGCTTGTGCTGTAAATGAACATCATATTGGCTAACAAAGGCAAATCCAAGTGTTCCTGACAAATGGAGCATAGATTCTGCCATTCTTGAGCATCTTTTTCTTCTTTGTTACCTTTCCATTGGCATCTGTAGCTTCAGCTTCTGTTACAATCTTTAAAGGCGCACTGGTTCTTTGACTTGTTTGTTGCAATCACCAGCTGAAAGATTCTTTTGTCAAACAACAAATTTGCCAACCCTTCCACCTTGTCAGCACAGTCATCCAATGATTTCTTTGTCACATAGAATAATTGGTTTGGAGTTTTGGGAGTGATTTTTTTGGTTTGGAAATTGTGAGGGAATGAATGAACGAGTAGAAAGGTAGTAGTTTTATTTGTTTTCTACTTTTTTCTATTTAAGTATTACGTTGTGTAGGACTTGTACTGCAGTCTACACAGTTTGAGAGGGAAAAATATCATGGAAACTAAAAAAAACTGTGATTGGGCGGAGTTACTAAGAAGTTGATAGAGCTCTTTCTTTCAGATTTTGAGCTTAACATCAAGCATTCAAAAATTATGCAGCAGATACAGGTGATCTATAACTCCATCTGGAGAATTAATACAATTACTCCAAATATCATAACAAGTGATCACAGCACTAATCCCATGTATGGGAACATTAATTTAACATTCCCATTGTTAGTAAGTTAATGATGTGGTCTTTGAATTAATGTCATCATTAGCTGCATAGGCCTACTTACGATCACAACTAGCCCTGGGGATGATGGCACGCTGGTAGGTCCAGCAGCTGCTGATCCAGCTGGATCAGCAGCTCAGCAGTGAGGAGCAAAATCAGAGGTCTGTAGAACAAAATCTGTGTAAAAATGTCTTAGAAAATTTGCTCATCAAGGAGGAACAATGCAGATTTTGGTCAAAATCAATGGGTTTTGATTGCATGTTCAAAGTTGTACTGGGCTCTACTGTAACCCACCTAGAAATATGCCCAACATGCTGCTTCCCAGCTCACGTCTTTGCTGACTTCATTGATAGTATCTGCAAGGATATTGGGGACCATCTAGCCCCTGGCAACACTGATGTGGAGAGTTACTTCCTCTGGGAAAACCTTGGATCTCATCTTACCACTACAGTTGGTCTTGGGGTCGTTAGATACAGATCAGCACAAGTCCAACCCTCTTTTGGTCTATTCCAACACCTCATTATCAACCCAAATGGGGACCCATTGAGTACAAGATCCTTGATGTGGTCAGTCCCATGTCTAAGATTGCTTTGAGGGAATGAAAACTGCATGATCTTGAGCAAGATATCTACAGGGAGGCTGGAAGATCAATTCAAGGTATTGACAATACCTTTGCTAACTGTGGATATGCTGTGAATGGTGTCCATGATCTATGATTAGAAAACAGAGATCAGCAACAGCAGCACATTGATGCTCTCCAGTGAGAGATTGTGATTCAGCGAGTAGCTGCAATGGATTGGAGCAACCCCCTGGGGACTGGCTCTCTAGGGACTCAAGTCATCCTGGGCCTCTCAAAATTGAATCCCACCACTGGGGAAGCCTGGATTCCAGTCCCCTACTGGAGCAGCTTCCTTAGTAGATACTCAATTTATCTGGATGATGAATTGACTGTACTAGAATCAGATTTACTAGCAGTTGATTCATCCAAATCAATTGACCATACTTAAGCTTGATAGGGATGGATCCCTCCTTGTCTATCTACAACATTACTATTTGTATACAGTTTATCTTTGTTAGGAAACATAGTTACCAAGAGTAGCAATAGACTTGAGCAATACGCTAGTAAGAGCCCAGCTTGCTGGTCCATTGAGTCAGCCTGCTGGGCCTACTACAGTATTAGAATATACTACAGCGCGTCTGGAAACGAGTCACTTTACAATCTAATTACTGCTCTAGCTACTGGAACCATCACTCAGCATCTTCACATGGGGATCAAGTTATTTGCGCTTTGCATGCTTATGTTCCAATTGCTCCAGCTGCTCATCAACAGAAAGCTTCTTTGATTTCTTCTTTGGTCTACCCTTAGACACTACTGTTCCCTTTGCTACCTTTCTTGCTACACATTTTGGAAGCAAGGTTACTGTTTTGGGGCCCTTCAATGATGCTACTGCTGGGGGTGCTTCATCATTGCTACTGATGGGGCCTTCCTTGCTGCCACTGGGGGAAGCTTCCTGGCTGGCTATAGCATGTTATCCAAGGCCACTTCTAGATGTCCATGATAGATATACTTCATATCTTCAACAATGAACAAATATATTCATTCACTATCTATAATTAGGCTTGATGTAAGTTTAGTGGATTACACTCTTGTGTGGCATCATATTACATACCTCGAGCACAGCATGAGGATGATTATATCTCAAATTTGAATTTTTTACTCTTTTTGGCTGTTTGGAATGTCTTGATTTCACTCTCTACAACAGGGCAATATGTATGAGTCCACTTTCAATGTCCTCTACAACATCGGGAGCTATGTCATTGTTGATGATTGGTTTGGATTCCCTGCGTGCACTGCTTGCTTAGATTTCTTCAAAGTGTATGGGATCAAGCCCAATGTTACTGCAATTGATAGTCTATCTGCTTACTGGAAAAAACCCGAAGAAGACCTCCAATGTTGGACATACTAAAAAGTCCGATTTCAGGCCAAAAAAAAGAAGACACCAAACCACGATTCACTGATTTCTGAGCTAGGTGGAAAAAAACTTTTCCTTTCATGAACAGATATTGTTTTTATTCCTAGTAGTATTGATTCCAGTTATAACGGGCATTGAATTCTTACATTCATGTAAATAGGAAGTTGTTAGCAAATCAAAGTCATACTTTTGATGTTACCGAACATACACATTTGTAATACAAATTATATTGTAATCCGAACTGGTTTGCTCCTCTGCATAGTAGGAGGTCATATGGAGGAGTTTGAAACAAAATGAATCATTGAGTTGACGTTACCAACCATGTGGAAGGACTCAAAGAGATTGGAACGACCAATCCTCGTCCTATCCTGGCATTCATCCGATGGCGATCAAACCACGATAAATGTGAAATTTCCCGATACTCGAACAAAGTAGTGTGAATGATGTTTTGGGGGTTGGGATTCGGACTGCACAATGCTTGTAGCTGGTTTATTTCTTCTACTCTGTCCCTTCTTCTTGGACCTTTCGGGTACCTGGAGATATCAAGAAGAACACATCGCATCACAGAAGATGTTATCACATGAGCAGATGTCTGCAGTAAATATTTGGCAAAGAAACAATGTGCTTTCGTGTGAGAAAGTTGCAGCAAAGGATGATATTTGTAAAAAAAGGGATCGCTTCTACAAATATGGGCACGTATGCAAAGAACATACCGCAGTCTGCTTTGAATTCTACTGTCTGACCACCTGCAAATACATCGAAGTAACAATTTGCCGGTCCCAAATAATCGAAAAGGTTTTCTGTTTTGGAAATGAAAACAGCCAACAAACATCGTAAATTGATTTTGAGAAATTCAAACTTCAGCTTGAAAAAATATGCCATCATGACGACAAAGGAGAACGCATTTCCAATTTTTAAAACTTACCGTGAATTGTATACTGCACCAGTTTATTGAACATAGTCCAGTTGTCAGGAACAGTTCCTTCCAGACGATTGTGGTCTGCTAGGACAGATATCAGTCTTCCACTTGCCATGGGTGGAATTGTAGCTGGGATGCTATTTGTCAACCTATTACGATCAACATGTAGGTATCGAAGTTCCACGAAGTCGGTGCCGATATCTTCGGGAATAGACCCAGCAATGAAATTACGTCCAATGTCGAAATAATACAGATCACGTAGCCTCAAGTTTCTAGGAATTGTACCTGATAAGTTATTATCGTAAAGATTCAAGTATTCTGAAAGATAGAACAGAATAGAAAATGAGATCAAAGCTGCAAAAAATAGTTTCTGCAATACTATCGATTTCTGCAAATCCATCATGCACTTACTTAATGGTCTGAACACATCATTACTCCACGACTGCAGCTGGGTAGGTATGCTTCCTGTCAACGAGTTGTGCGACATATGCAAATATTGAAGCGAATTCAATTCTCCAATCCTCGATGAGATAGTCCCTGTCAATTTGTTTTGATAAAGGTACACTCGTTGCAAGTCCCCCAACTCGTATATCTCTTCGGGGATGGTGCCTGCAATTTTGTTGTGCGACAAATCCAGGATTTGTAGTTTATAAAGGAAGCCAACTTCGGAAGGAATATTCCCAATAAGTTCTAGGTCAGAAAAATCGATTCCAATGACTCGCCCGAAGTCATCGCACGCAACACCCTCCCACTTGCATTCATCCACACCTTGCTGTCGGTCGAATGAAAATACTGATTCACCCATCAATGAATACTGCATTGTGAGGAGAGCGAAGCGCTGACCAAACTTAAAAAGATCGTCGTAAAGAATTTCACTGACTCGATTATCACTATCTTCTATCTGGTCGGAAGAAGAAAGCGATTTCAATTCTTCTGCCATCCAATTGGCAGCTTGATTAACCGGTAATGACTGGTCGTTATCGGAGAGCGTGACTTGAAAAGGACCCGACAATAAATCAGTGATGATTTTGTGTTCGACTGAAACCGTAGATGCAATCGCAGGTTGATCTGTATCTTCATTACTCGTGGTCTGAATGTCTGGGATGGTCCAACTCTCAGGAGACGAAGTAGCCTCTTTCTCAGATAAAATAGAATCTTCAAAACTGGTATTGTGCTCGTTATCGCTGTTGTTGGCGAGAAAGTTCTTATTGTCAAAGCTAATTAGACCGAAGTAAGTCATGATAGATATTCCAGCTCCTACTATTATCGCCACAAGTGACAGACCAAACAAAATATAGAGTACCGTTCGGCGACAATCACCCTTTATCTTTTTCCTATTTTTTGCCACCGCTCGATGCCGTTCTTTCCCCTTCTCTCCCTCTCGAAAACCCTTCGATTCCACGACGGTCACCTTTTTCTTTGACTTATTCTTGACTTTGTTTTTGCTTTTGCTTTTGATGATACTACTGAGATTGTTTTGGCCTTCTAGGTCCGATAATTCTGCTGTCTCATTCGCCGTGCTTTCATCGGTAATTGTATAATGGCTTCTATCGAGAACAGAATCGTTATCAAAGGTACTGTTCGGACCTTGCCCGCAGTAATTAGACACAGTAAGGCTTCCATCACTCATGAATACCGAGCCGCAATCCGATGGCGGACTCGGCAGCGGAATAACAGTCGTAGGTATAGGTGGAGACTGAAGGCGATGTTTTTCTACGATGAACACAGTTCTTTGTTTGGATTTGTCGAATACCCACCGTCCTCCGTAGGACGACTCATCCTCCTGTTTCCCCGTCTCCATAGTTGGATTAGCGTGCTTTTTTCGAAATCTTTTCTTTGATGGCAGATGAGATGAGATGAGATGAGATTAGATTAGATCGATGTTCAACTCTGCCCACAGGTTATTCATCAATCTCGGCTGCAAAGCTGCGTCTTGGCAAATGATTCGTCATTCGTTATTTCAAACACCACTCTCTTGATTTGTTTCTTCGATCCGTCCTCGAAATTCACGATCCAACCGACGGACGACTCAGGCGCACGACTGGATGCCTAAAAGTGAGTCGTTCAGGAAAGTAAAGGAGCTAATGTATTTCCTCCTTAGTTTTCGAGCACCAAAGTGGCTTTCAGTTTGGATCCCTCATTTTTTTACTCTCAGCTCATTTTGAGTCTTGGAAATTCTTTTGTGACGTGATTCAATTCCTTGCGAAACATTGATTCCAACGCTATTAGAACGAAATTTTCGCCACAAGATGAGGATCTCGTCACCAAAAAAATGAAGAACCCGAACTCGCAGAAAGCAGAGAAACGTTTGTTGATCCACAGTGTCATACCTTCCTCTCGTTGAAGTCTTCTGCACACATCAAAAATCGGTTTTGACGAACTGCAAATGTTGCATCACAAACCAGAGGAAAACGAAGGACTTTTCATTCAGCAAGAAGTTGAATAAAGGGTACTCATATCTTCACTGTAACTATCAAAGTGATTTGAAATATCAATACAGCAAAGCATGTCAAGCTGGGAAAGGAAAGGGTACAGACCACATCAGGCATCTGATGATGTTTCTGACGATGATACCGTTGAAGAAGTTTACAATGCGAAAGAAAATAAAGTTGAAGAGATGATTCGTCGCTTCAGCAAAATGAATAGAACGGAAGTAGCAACACCCGATTATCAGGACGAATACAATGACGACGATAGAACTATGTCGAGTATGTCGACAATGTTCCGGAAAGCGAGAGGTGACAGGCACGTCAGTTCTGAACCTTTAGATTATAGCACATATCAATTTGATGATGATGCTACGATGGATAGTTTATCTGATGTCTTCAAAAGGCAAGGTACTGTAGATCGTAGAAGTCCGACAGTTTTTCAATTTAAGGATGACGACAATAGCACGGAAACCGTTAAGACGGCAACAACATGGAAAAGCCGCAATCGAAATCACGAAAACGGTGGCTTAGAAGGCATTCTTCGCAATAAAACCAATATGCATGATGAAGAGGAATTCGGTACAATCAATTTGCATGACCAGGCGGAATTGGGTGCAATCGAGAATGAAAAAGGGAAGAAAAACGGCAATGATGGCAATAACGATGATGAACAAGAGAAGGGCAGTGTTAAAGAAGAGGATTTGTCGCAAACAAAAAGGGCTCCAAGAAAAAAGAACGCGAAGAAGCGCTCCATGTCGAATAGAAAATTTTGTTGCATTTCTTTTGCCTTCGTGGCCGTTGTTGCTATTTCAACATTTGTCACATTCCAATTTTATTACAAGAATTGGGGAAAGAGTGACAAATTTAAAACGTCGGATGCTACACCTAAAGATGATCAAGCAAATCTTAGCCCCGCTGTAGCACCAGGAAGAAATGGTCATTCACCAACGACTCAGACAAATGTTGGTCATATCCCGTCGCAACCGGGAAATGAAAACGATTTTGAATATGTCCCATCGTCTTCCGACGTATCGAAACCAGTATCTAGACCAGTGACTTCCGATGTATCGAGACCAATACCAGTCTCAGTCTTCGACCTACTTGATCGGCCAACCCAGAAACCTGCAACTGACTACATCGGTATGTTGATGGAATTTCTTCAAGACAATCAAGTGTATTTCGATAGAGACCCATTGTCCCCCGACTTTATGGCGGTCCAGTGGTTGGCAGAGGAAGCAGAAGTGAGGGAAACGGAAGAAAACGCTTACGGAAATGGATTGGAGTTGACAGACAAACTAATCCAACGCTTTGCTGTGATCACCTTGGATTATGCTTTGAACCGACCTAACATCACAATGCTACAGAAACAATATCGCGCTGCTGACTTCAATAATTACAAAAAGTTACATACCATTGCTGTCAAAGACAGGGATGAATGTAAGTGGCACGGTGTTCATTGTGCGAAGGTTGGACTCACTGCAGGCAAAGTTGAAGAAATCAGATTTTCGCACTCGGGTTTGACAGGCACCATTCCACCCGAGATAAATCTCTTGAAGGATTTGAAAGTTTTGGATCTTTCCGGAAACAGGCTTCGTGGGGCTATTCCAGATTCTCTGTACAGCATAAAACAATTGGAGAAACTTTACCTGTATCAGAATCAACTCACAGGTACAATATCGGAGAATATTAAAAATTGGAACAATATGTAAGTATATTGAATCAAACTTGACCGAGCATCTGTTCGCGCTGTAATGGTAGATATAAATTGAATTTATTTCCAATACTTATCCTAACACGAATTTTTCTTGAAAAACTTCTGCGGGTGCTAATTTTAACAACAGAACGCACTTGCATCTCTCTMACAACCAACTATCTGGCACCATTCCTGCTTCGTTTAAGTCCGGTGAGCGCATCCGACCAATTCGTAAGTAACCAAAATTCAAAGCAATCATGTATGAATCTATTGCGATTGCAGGTTGTACTAGGTCAGAACTAACTTTTGTTTTCTCACTCAAAATTTTGTTTGAAATCGAGAGCAGAATATATGAATCTTTATTCGAATCAACTGACGGGAACTATCCCGGAGAGTCTGCGTTTTCGCAAGTTAGTTCACGCCGATTTTGGCCGTAATCAATTTTCCGGTACTCTTCCCGACGACTTTGGTCTGAGATCGGTTTCACTCCGGTTTTTGTACATGGATCATAACGAATTCACTGGAACGATCCCATACTCCTACACAACAGTTGGTAACGGGCGAGTGGAGGCACTCGCCTTTAATCACAACCAACTTACGGGATGGGTTCCAGGATACTATCAACACTACAAACTTCGTGAGTCTTGACTTCCTCCGATCAATCTACAATTTTAGCATTGGCATGAATTCTCACCCCCATAATCTTCAAATTTTTTCCGCGGCATCCTTTAAAAATATTCTCCAACAAATCTGAAACACTAGTTGAGCTGAATCTCCACAATAACACCTTTACGGGCGTAGACTGGGAAACCTGCAGACAAGGTGTCTTCGATACTGGCGAGATGGTACGTATAAACTCATAGTTTCTGGTATCATTGACCACTTTGTATAGTCAAATGTCCACGAGAGTCATTGCGTTAGAGGTGTGGTGTTTTCCTGAATTTTATCGAATGCGTTCTTTAAAGACTCGTTGGTGATTAAATCATTTCTCTCACTTGCTTGGTGCACCATCATTCTTCTGTATACGGTTGTTAGGTCGAATTTACTGCGGATTGTGACGTCTGCATCTGCGATCCGTATTGTGGAAAGTGCAAGAACAAGTGGTGACTGCCATTGAAAGGTTCGATTTGAGAGATGCAGAAGAATCACCTAGATTTTCGTACTCGTATCAAGTAGTAGAATGACATAAAAAAGTCAACTATCGGCTGGTGCGAGGACACCTAATTGTCTCTGTATAAAAGTGTAATTCACAGCTTATTCTTTAGATCATCTCCAGATCACACAGGATTGTATAGGCTCGTTCTCCCAAGTCCTCGATAGCTGCATATTTTGCCGAAAGTTTGGCTTCGTCTTCGGGAGATTTTCGTTGATAATACGTACGGCGGTCTGCCAAAGACGAATTGCGCGATGACGACTGAGCCTTTGGCAACACATCGTCTTCCTCCACTTTGTTGGCAATTTCTGCTGGGGAGTCGTTGTCCGTCGTGGTAGCCTTTGGCTTCGCATTTTCTTCCAAATTTGTGACGACTTGAACCACTTGTTCGTTGAAGGGTGTGAACTTTCCCTTGTCATCATTTGTTGTTGGAATCGCGCCGACGCTTTTAACTGTTTCAGTCTTGGGCACCGGTATGGGAACAACTGATTCGACCAATAATAACACGGCCTCTCTCAGCTCACCAGCTGTCTTAACTTCGACTCGTGTTTTGTCGCTGTTATCTTCTTCGTATGGAATGGAGACAGCAGATAACTTTTCACTACCAACATCGTGAGCGGTATCTATTATGCGTGCTTTTAGATATAAACCCGAAGATCCGATCGATGCAACAGCTACTCGAAGGGCAACAGCACCCGCTGAAAAGTCGATGCTGGCACCTATGTCCTCATAATGTGTCATAAACAAAGCTCTCAATTCATCTTCGAACTCGTCTTCGTTCAACAATTTTTTCAACAGCTTGCATTCGTCCACCAACTCCAGGGGCGACGATTGAGGTGCAATCGTTGTCCACCATTGGGGTAGACTTTCGTTTTTGTCTGGTTCGTCTTGCAGTCGTTCCATCCATCGCTTTTCTATCACAATCCGTTCGTAATATTGAGAGTCGTCACCAACACCCACCTCACCAACATCTCGCTCGGACAGCCTATCTTTTGCGTGACCGTCCAAGACGCGAATCTGTTGCGTCAACATGTTCAGATCTTTGCTGTCTACCCACGATTGAGGATATCCAACCGTTACCAAGACCTGGGCGAGTTGATCAGCGGAAGGGCTTGCGGTGGGACCAACCGATGCCGGAACCGCTACAGCAACATCGATGGATTTGCCGCCCACTCGTACTAGTTCGGCTCTTCGCACCAATTCTKGGTTCAATCGGTCGTGGGGTGGTGGCGCAAATGCACAGGCAATCCTGGTCCAAACCGCTTGGTCATCCACAGCATTCGTCAATGATTCCAGTATTTCAGTATCGTTTTTGTTGTCAGAGCCGTAATCTGTGTTTTCGAATTCGTCGTCGTTGACCACAGTTCCATCGGCGCCATAGATGCGCGCAAACATAGATGATTGTCGAAACGCTCCAGTTGATACATTAGGGAACAATACAGAGGAAGGCAGGAGAGAACAACAAACGTTCCTTCGCTCTCGCTGTAGTTGTTGGTTCTGCGTGGCGATTTTCGACTCGCAGCGAAATGCAGCTACCTTCGCATGTTTGTCAGTGATGAAAACGATTTCTGCTACTGTTAGAACCAGCGCTAGCAGCGAGACCTCTAGTCGATACATATCTCTTCTTCTTCCTTTCTATTTCTCGGTACAGGAAGGAAATGCACGAATAACGAATAACCATTGCCAAATACTGACGAGAGTTTAAGATCACTATTAGGCGTACTACGCGTTGCAAATCAATTGAAATTACTTTTCTCTGAGGACAAAGCACAATCACGAGTAGCTAGTGAATAACCTCACTATTTATTGTAAAACATGTAGTTATGGCACTTAAGAGCACACGTATATTTCACAGGTTATGAGCAACTAAAAGACTTACCTCAACACCTCATCATCATCATCATTAATAAGTCTTCTACATGAGTGGATTGATTTAACACTCTTCCCACACAACTGAAGCCTTGGCTAACATTACAAACAGAGGCTTTTTCACCCTCCTGCTGTGTGTCTTCTTTCGTATTCACAGGGAATTCCAAATGTTAGCATTGAGGATCCCAATGTTAGAATGATGGTTCCCAATGTTCACTTAACATTCCCAATGTCAGACTAAATGTGGCTTTACTAACATTTATAGTAGAATGTTTAATTCAAGCAAAACCGCTGGTGCAGTACTCATTTCTACAAAGAAAGAAGGCATACTACTACTATGGTGCTAACATTTGGAATGGCCTGTGAAACGTAATTTCAATTGATCTACAACACAAGGCAGTAGTACTAGTAATACACCATCAATATAACTTCTTTCTTTAAGGGGGGAGGGATTCTTGGGAAGTTCTTTAAATGAAGATCCTGTATGTTAATTTAACATTTGAAAGGCACTGTACTAGGCATGTGTAGAAATGAATACTACTGAGGTGTTGCTTGAATGTAACAAAGTAACATCATATTTCACTTACTATCACTACTAGTAACATTCCAAATGTGAATAGGGGAGGATGACATTCTTCTTTTTTTAGACCACCACTTCTTTGTCTTTAAAGGGACGTGCATGACCCAAATAATTGTTTTGGGAAAGATAGTGTGCTGCTACCACATCGAAGAATGGGGATACCCCCACTACTACTAGGATCTGTGTAGGCCTGGACCACCAGTAACATAATACTAGTAGTAGTAACATTCAAATGTTCAATTTGCATTCCATACCTTAACACTACTAACATTTCTTGGAACAATAATTTAACGTACTAGTACTAAATCCCTTGTTATTTAAAGAAAGTTAAATTGTTGTGTTACACATAGTAGTACTCATACTACTACTAGATACTAATGATAAATGTGGCTGATCTCTTTGAACTGCTTAGAAGTATATACCATACAATACTACTACTAGTAGAAATCAACAAACTTAAACAAAGTTTGTTCACACAGTACAAAGCCATTTGCAATTTTTGCATCACAACTCCCAAACTTGCTGCCAGTATGGGGAAAGATAATTTTACTGTATTTAAGTTTTTTTTTTAAATTAGTAGTGTATATTTTGCAAGTGGAAGGCAATTTTTAAATTTTTGTTCTCCGGACCTAATCTCCTTGCATATTGGTTCATTCCCAAAAACATAAACCAATGATGCTKGGAATGTTTTCAGTTTGTACTAAAGACATGATGGCAGGCTTGATAAAAGTACATAGTATTTCTTCCCATCTTTTTAGGAATGTGGAATCATTATTTAGCACACATCAGTTTGTTCTTGTTGGCACCCTGTGACTGTCTTTTTGGGCTCATCCTCTCAGCACAAGACTGAAAATGTTTGTTAGTCAAGAAGGGTTCCAATAAATATGTATTTTTGATGATACATACTAAATCAAGAAGTCGACCAGTCAAGATTTACATATATCAACAATGTTTACAGTGGGAATGAGGAATCATTACTGTAGCAGCATATCAGCAAACTCATCACATGCCACCAGCATCTCATTTCCATAACTTCATATTTTTACAAAGAAAAAAATCATGTTCAATCTACTAGTAGCTATTAGTAGTAGTTCACCATGCTGCTCTGTGTTAAAAGAAACTTCATACCAGATTTTTAGCTCCCCCCCCCTCACACTCCCATCTGCATACTAGTAGTACTAATAAGAAGAAGGACTAGTAGTAGTAGTACTCCAGTTGGAAAAACCTCTTCCTGTACTGTTTTATTCTATTTGACTTCCATGATTAAATTTCAACTTTGTTTAGCTAGAAGGTTCTCTATCTCATCTTTCTCAAATGGTGGAATGATTGAATGATTGACAGACTGTMGAATGAAATGAAGCAATTGGTTTCACTGAACTCAAACCACCAAGTCTTTATTATCTTTATCTTTAACCTTAAACAAATAAGAAATAATACATAGTACTGGTACTTCTATTACTTTACTGGGCCCTCCAGAACCAATGCGCGCGCGTCACCCCTTTGAAATCTAATATCGGGGGTATGATTTTGTGTTTTTTTTCAAATAAAATAACCCACATTTCTAAAACGTGGGTTATTTTTCCCATGTAATAACCCATGATTCTAAAACGTGGGTTATTTTTCACAAAAAATAACCCATGTTTTAAAACGTGGGTTCCTGGGTTCCTGGGTTAACCCACGAATAACCCACGAAATAACCCATAAATAACCCACGAAAAACCCACAAACCTGCTGGGCCTTTTTCCAAAAATTAAAAACAGTGATTAAATAATGTTAATGACTAAAATACTTAACATCCTTGGTTCTCCATCAACCCAGATGACTGTAAATTTGTGGGTTATTTGTGGGTTCTTTCTTGGGTTATTTGTGGGTTCCTGAGTTCTTTCGTGGGTTATTTTTCAAATTAAAAAACCCACATTTTAGAAACGTGGGTTATTCTTCCCATGAAATAACCCATGATTCTAAAACGTGGGTTATTTTTCACCAAAAATAACCCACGTTTTTCTAGGGGAGGAATTCAAAAAGGGGGATGTGCGCGTGGGTACCGGAGGGCCCTGTACTGTTTTAGCTCATTCTAGTCGTGTTTTGTGACGATCACATAACATAACTCGCGACCTTGACACTTTCTCTGTTTGAGATTGAGAAGTCATGTTCGCGGAAACGAGCGTCACGGGACGCTTGACATCCATCACCAATCACAAAACATCACGCTTCACACGAACATCACGAATTCACCAAGTAAAAACAGGAGCATCATGACATCCAAGTTTTCGAAGTCGCTCCGCGTGAACGACAATAGGACCGAAGAACCAAGGAACGCAACATTATGGTGTCGTCTCGTGTCAGCCAATGAATCCGTTGGGCAGGTTCGAATGGAATGAGAACTAGACTGTTTCGAATTGATTTTTTATTGATGGAGAAGTTTTCTATCATAAAGAAATCTTTTGAATAAAAAAATTTAAGTGAATACTAGGTACAAACACTCATACTACATAAAGAACCAAACGTCATCGTCAACGACATTAATACATAATGGGAGGGAACGCTGCTGCAAAAGAATATCCCACAGTACGTTACAAATCAATCGAGAGAACGTTGTTTGTACACTCTGTCGTCACGAGTAAAGCAACGATTTTTTTTCGTCAATCGAAGCCTCACGATACGTTTTTTCTGTTCCATTCATTACGACGATAGCAATACTTTCTGGCGTCGGGTTTAGCGGCTACAGGGTGTTACCGTAAGTCACTGATTCTCTGAACAGCTGAAGACACAAATATTTCGTCTCTAATCACTTTTTGTATAATGTCAAATCCATCGCTTAGCGCTCTGGAGATCTGCAGCGATCGGCCAGTCTGGCTTCCATGTAGGCACGGTAAAAGCGGGCGGAATAACTATTCCTCGCACCCTGGCGCCGTATGTTCAGGGGTTCTTGCCACCGTACAAGGGCGCTTTCGCCACTGTTATCGGTATGACGTACGCCCGTGCTGCCATATTTTACCTGTCGGATTGGGGCCACGATGTAATGACGAAGGATTTCGGTTGCGACGAAGTCACCTCGACGGTGATCCCCCCGTTTGTAGTGAGCACGGTCGTGCAGATCACGAACCAGCCCGTCGTGAGAGCCACCGTGACGCTCCAAAACCCGTCCTACAAGCACCCGAACGTTTGGGCGAGTGTGAAGCACATTTACAAAACCTCCGGGATGTCGGGTTTGTGGCACGGGACGACCGCTGGTGTTCTGAAAACAGTACCAAAGTATTGCATGGCCATTGCCGTGAAAGATTACGCCGAGCGGACACTTCCCAAGCCCGACTCGTCGAGTCCTACATACGACAGGGACATGCTGTGGAGGTCGGCCGTCAAGAGTACCATGGCAGGTGTCGCGGGTGCAGCTCTGACGAACCCTCTAGACGTTATTCGCAACGAACAATTCAAGACCGACCTGGGGTTGTGGAGGACAACGCGGTCCTTGTGGAAGGAGCTGGGGTGGAGGTTTGCGACACGCGGATTGGGAAAGAACATGGTCGCCGTTGCATTGCCCGTTGGAGTCACAATTTTTTGTACGGACACCCTGATTCACATGTCCCAGCAACAGTCCTGATCAGTGCAGCGAGCATGGTAACAAATTGTCACTTTCAACAAATCACAGGAACGAGGTGTGTTCAATTTTGTAACCAAATAGAGTAAAAAGGAATAACGTGCCGACATACGTATTTGAATAACCGTTAGTAATTTTTTTAACAATTCGTTCTAGGTTTTTCTCTCGCGAAAATATATTGTTAAACAGTTGAGCATAGCCGCACTAGGGACGAAATCGTCAGGGATCCAAGAAGGTACTTCCGATGAGAATCATCTTCTTTTCCCACCTCCCGAGTCCTTGATTGTGCTCGTGGGAATAACGCCAATCTCCGAAATAGGTTTCCGAATCCGCCGGTGCCTTTTGCTTCAATAGCATTGCAGGTCACACAGATCAAAGAAACCGTTGCACTCGCATATCCAGCAATCAACTCTGCGCGGCAGTCCAGAAACAGCCAGCAGGCCACGAAACAGGAAAACGGGACGAATGAGCAAACAGGTTCGACAAGTGTTGCGCAGCCGAGGAACAAAAAAAGATTTCTTCGAAACCGAGTTGCCGCAGGCATTATACGCACCGGAATTCAATCATTTCACCCTGCGGGACTTCCATTTTGCAGTTGCCCTTGTCCATGGCATCGAACTTGTTGGAATGGAGCGTGTACTGAACGAGTTTGTTGGTAAGGTCTCTTTTCCCGGGCACCGTCCCCGATAGATAATTGTGATCGATGCTGAAGGATTCCAGCCGTCCGTTTCCAACAGTGTTGTAGCTTTCCGGCAGGGTCCCCCAAAAGTAATTGTGGTCAAAGTGGGCGTGGCGCAGGGACACGAATTTTTCCCCAATGTCATCGGGCAGCGTTCCGGACAATTCGTTGCGCCCGACATCGAAATAAATCATGTCCCTAAATCTCATACTCTCCGGAAGGGTTCCGGTGAGTCTGTTCCTGTAGAGATTGAAATATTCTGGGACAGAAACACCACACAGCAACACGTGAGCGGGATCGAGCGTTCGTTCCCGGACCATTCACCGCAAGCAAAGACGTAACTTACCGAGGGGGCGGATTCCGCTCGCGCCTGATTTGACCTCCGCCGGGATACTCCCGGAGAGATTGTTGTGGCTTAGATGGAAATGCGTAATGGAATCGAGGTTTCCGATCTTGGTCGAGATGGTTCCCTCCAGCTCGTTCCGAAAGAGGTACAGCTTCTCCAGGTTCGTCGCATCGTACAGCTCCTCGGGAATCGTTCCGACGAGGTCGTTGTTGCTCAGGTCCAGGTGCACGAGGTCCTCCGCCAAGAGCCTCACCTCGGGGGAAATCCGGCCGTCACCAGATTCGGTGCGGTTTTGGTAGGCCCAGCGGACCTCGGTGACACTGCCTTCCTCGTCGCCGCCGTCGCAACCGACTCCGTCCCAGTCGCAATGGTCGACCCCGGGGACCACGTTGACCGGGGCATCCAACGTCGAGTTGGCCCCCCGCAGGGCAAACCCCATGGACAGCAGGGCGAACCGCTGGACCAGCCGCTCGTCCGGCTCGAAGGAATCGATCCGCGCGGCTTCTTCCGCCAGCCACTCGATCGCGAGCATGTTCGAGGTTTCGTTGTAGTCGACGGCATAGCTTCCAAACAAGAATTCCTGCAGGAGGGCGACGTGGTCCCGGGTCGGCATCGGGCTGGGCGCCGACGAGGGCTCCGAGGTGGTCGGAGCACCGGTCGGGACGACCGAGGGCTCTCCGGTGGGCCCGGCCGAGGGCGATTCCGTGGGCCCCGTGGTCGGCCCCTCCGACGGATCGGCCGTGGGCACCGGAGTCCTCGTAGGTGCGGGGCTCACGGTGTCGGGCTCCGCGAGACCGGCCGTCGCCGCCGAGGACGCCAGGGGACCCTTCCTGCGGCGGAGCACAACGACCGCGGATGCGGCAGCAATGGTGCACACCGCGAGAAAGGCGAGGAGTCCGATCGTCAGCCACCGCTTCCGCCGTTCCTTGTCTCCCCCGGGGCCGTCGCTCGATTTCTTGTGGGCAACGTCCTTGGAATACATCAGTTCCAGTCGTTCGTCCGCCTCGTCGCTGCTGCGGCCCGTGACGGCGGTTTCGGGGGAGGCCAGGGCTCCGCTCGGCTCGACGAGGGTCCGGTCCCGGTCGGGCTGCTTCCCCGTGGTTGGCGCCAGCATGACGGCCTGCGCCGGTCCCGGTGGGATCGGGGTTGTCTTATTCTTGGGTTGCGGCGAATCGAAGGAGCCTTCCTCCGGGTCGGGACCTCCCGGAGCAGGAGCGGAAACAGAAACCTCGGGCGTCTCCATGGTGGCGTCGTCTTTGGTCGGTTCCATGGTGTGCGGGTTTGCCGGCAAAGCACTTGTGCGGTGGCGTGCCGTGTGGTGTGCCGTGTCTACGGTTCGACCCGATGGGAATGCAATGCGAGCACCAAGACAAGTGCGTCAGCGGCGAGAGTTCGGTTGCGTCTCTTTCGGGGTGGACACGAGCCGTATGATTCGAGCAGTTGCAGCCGTCTCGGTGTATCGGCTTTGTCGTTGTCAGTGGAGGGAAGCGCCAATTGTGAATCGTTCCGTGACTTGGCAGTTGTTTGAAGACAGTGAAGCCAGAGCAGTTGTGTCTGTCAAATGATATCTGTTGCCGGTATCTAAAGAAAAACGCAAACTCTGGTTGCTCTGTCGCGTTTGTACGATTGGGCCAGTGCTAGGAGTACGAGTACGAGTATGTGCAACGAAAGCACCAATACCAGTACGACGACTACGGGTACGGGTGCACTCGGGTTTCTCGCATGACAGGGGCAATATGTTCCGTTCCGATAACTGTTGCACACTTGGTTTAGTAAGTCCGAGCAGGAGCACGAACCGAATTTTTGGCTTTCCTTGGGTCGGGACACCATTCCAATCATTGGGAAGGCACGCCTCTAAATTTAGACACAACTTCTGGCACGCGCGCGCTCACTCGGCTGTTAAAAACGCGCGCATTTCAAAAGAGGGGCAGGAGTTGGCAGGTGATACACACGTGACCCGGTTCGGTCTTTCTGTGTGATAGAGTTCGTCCTTCGTACGTCTTAATGGAAGACAAATCTCGTAGTTTTTTGGTTGAAAATAAAAAATAATGCCCAGCAACGGGAACGCTATCATTTTGTCAATTATCACTTACGAAGGACGGACGCGATTGACGGGAGAATCCTTCGTGTTGTTCTGTTAATACGATAAAAAAATCGGCCAATTTCCAAGATTTAAAGCAACCCAACGCAACGAATTGAACCCGCTCTCCCGGAACGAATCAATCCCCAACATTGGTGACAAGAACGCTCTCTCCCTTCTCTCTTCCGTGCGGCATCACACGTTACCGCCAATACACTTTCGACAAAGCAGTGCAAAGATCAAGCGACAGAACCGCAACCAAACTCACGAAGCCATTCCCCAAAAGACATCAGAAACAACCAAAATGAAGAACCAGTCCCTTTCTCTTGCCCTTCTCGCAACTCTGACGTCCTTCCTCGTCGGCCGTGTTGTGTCCGTCGACGTCGACTACGAGGCCTTGAACGCAGCTGCCGAGGTAGGTGACAAACACCGATTGCGTGTGATCTGGTGCCCGGAATGATAAACGGCATCGAATGCCGCAACCGTGCGATCTGCTGCTTTCGTTTGTGCTTGTTGTTGTTGTTGTTGTTGTTGTTGTTGTGCGTGTTGTTGTTTTTGTTGTTGTTGTCTGTGTTCAGTCTGCTCCATAGTTTCCCGGCGCACCAACACTCACCAAAACAACACCACGAATCCGTTCCCCCCACGCCCCGCAACCAACGCAGAAAAACCCGGCATTCCGCCGGTCGCTGGAAAACAGGCACCGCCGGTCGCTGCAGAACAAGGACAAGCCGGCCTTTGACTTTTTCGATCCCGACGAGGACACGTGCGACAACTCGAAAAACCCGACCGAAGACCGGGCCCTCCTGTCGGCGTGCGATTTCAGCCGGTTCCCGACCTGCGGGGACAATGAGGAAATCTGCTACAACCGCAAGCCCAGCCGGGACCACTTCCACCGGGACAACCACCAGCACAAGTTTTACATCCAGTACGATCGGGTCTTTTGCTATCCCGACTCGTGGGGTGGCTGCTCCTCGTGCACGCCAGGAAGATACTGCAAATCAGAAAAGAGATGCATCCTGGAGGAAGTGGGATACCCTTGCCAGGAGTGGTTCTAAGAGAGAACCGAAGAAACGCACGGCGTGCAACAGTTGGAGATGACGAAACCACGACGAGACAATCGGAATGCGGACAGGGCAAAAGCATTTCGATTCCGTACTTTATATATCCGGTGCAACGAAACCAATATCGCTGGAACCAAACCACCAGGAACACGTTTTTGCGGAACATTTTCTCCCTTGTCCCTCGTGCGAACAATTCCCGGGGCATTCCGTGAAGAAAATCCCAGGGAAACCCAAAATGGTTCGTCGCACTATGAAAACATGTAGATTAAACACTAGACCAAGTTCTAAATCAGGAGAAAAAGCTACATTCGTACTCGGTTGGGTTGGTGGCGACGGGGCGTGTCGCCGACGATCCGGCTGGTTCGTGGCGGTGGTTCCGATCGGACGGAATGCCCGGAGGCAGCCCGTCGAGCACGGCGTTGCCAAGGACGACGATCGGTGCCCACCCCGGGACACCGCTCCGTTCCGTGCCCGGGCGGGGTGCTTTCGTCCCTAGCACTTGCGCACGCGGAGGCAGCGATCCGTCCCGCCTCGTTCGTTTGCGGGAACCTTCGGCCCGGCGGTGGCCATCGCTCGTGCTGTGCTCCGTGGCGATGCGCAGGCAGCACCCTGCGTTCCCGGTGCTCTTTGGAGAACAGCCAATGTCGAAAACAATCTGTAGTCTATACCGTACTAGCACCGGCATGGTTGCTGCCAAAGCCACATCTCCAAATTGCACCGGCGGAGAAGAACCTTGTTGTGCACATGCAGCGCGGGTTTGCAATTCCCAAACAGGTCACACCAACCCGACCTACCGTACTTGAGCGTCCAACAATCAATCTTTGCGGGAGGTTGTTTCCTCCTGAAAATGGTGGGAAACAAGAATAAGAAGTTCTGGTGGTCCCTCCTCCGCTCCAGGGATACTCAGAGAGATTTATTTGGGATAGAAGCCCCAAAGTAAGTTTGCTGTTAGTACGAGAAACATCTGCTATGAATTTATGAATATGCTGGTGCAACATCTCATTCAAAAAGAAAAGTAGTAGTAGGTTTTTGTTGCATATTGTTGTTCGTTGTTTCGTGTGTTGTACTTTTTGTACCACATATGTATCGTATTACGATAGGATATGTACCGTATGTATGTATCGCACGCTATTTTAATTTTTTTAGAAGTACTTAGCGGTATCTTGTACTTCATACGTACTACGGGACCAGTAACGGTCGGTGTCGTTTGTCGTTCAACCAAAGATTCTCTGTTCCATAAGCTTTGTCAAAAAAGATTCGCACTCGACTTCGTACCGTACAGTACAACATGGTACGGAACGTAAAGTATGGTACAGCACGACTACCATACCGTACGGTACCGTTTGGTATGGTACGAGTACCAGAAGTATCAATGTACCGTACGATGCTTCAGAAGATGATGATGTTCTATTTTGGGAGAGTAAGAACACTCTTAGTGCCAATCTATGAGAGTAATCCATGTAGGAATACTGCAATGTCTCCCGGTTGATTTATCTTTCCACGTCAACCACCCTCTATCAAAAACGAAAGTCTTCATGACCCAAGACATCACGAACGAAAGTTCACTCTTGCGACAAGCATCGTCACCGACCACTCCGGCCATCATTGCGAGACCAACGATTTCTGCATCGGCGTGGCGGGTCTGGTACTCCACGACCGTGAAATTGTTGCCAACCATTGCATTCTTCTCGTTCCTGACAGCCAACCTCGCCTTTCATAGTCATCTCGCACTACCCTTCTCATTCGACGGTAACGGCAGAATAGATCCGAAAGAAATTGGCCGACAAAAGTTGCTTCGCGGAAACCAAACCCATGTTATTGATCCTTTACAAAATAAGCAGAAAATGAAATTGTCTCTGTGGCTTATTCCACCGGGAGGCGAGGACCTCACCGATGCCGGTGACAGGAAGAGCAATGTGTACGGACAAACCCTGCAGGTGATCGACGAATTGTCCGGGAGATTCGGCGGACCAAAGTTCATCCCACACATAACAGTGGTCGGTGGGATCCAGGTCGACTCGGAAAAAGAGGCAAACGATTTGTCGAAACGACTTTCCGAGGGACTCGCAGGATTTGGTACAGTACAATGCGATTTTCGAGATATTTTACAGGAGCCAGGTTGTTGGAACCAAGCATTGATCTTAGAAATGATTCCTTCTAAGACCTTCGTGGAACTGTGTGAATTGTCGCGCCGGCTCTTGAATATGGAACAAGAAGGAGATTGCATTACGTTTCCTCCGCCCGCGGGAGTCCCGCACATGAGTTTGTTTTATGGAGATTCCCCTTTGGATGGCTCCGACTCGCAAACGGGTCGAGACGACTATCTTGCTCGGGTGTTCGGTACAGATAGCAATGGTATTGGCGATGACAAAAAATCATTCCAAAGTCATCGCGTGATGCTTTGGAAGACTGATCCGTCTTCTGCATCGGGCGTCCCGGAGTGGAAACCTTTGATCGATATTGGTCTTCTCTGATTTTATCGGATCAACACTGCTTTTATGATCAACTAAGTTTGCATTCGATTCAAATCGCGTGTTGGCATTGGACTGATCATTTATCCTTTACTTCGGGTTGGCAGTCCTAGGTTTCTCTATAACTGTGCCGAACGTCTAGATCATAGACAAAGTTCGAAGTCGATATTTTCAGTTGTGGCGCAAGGGCGCCACGAATTTATTGGATACCGCATTACGTTGCCAAAAGTGATGCCCATCTCCTCAACTGCAACTATGTTCGACACCCAAAAGATCGAAAATATTAGGAGAAGAAACCCTCTTTAATCTCTGAAATGTGAAGTATTTCATTTGCTATATTACTGAAATGATTGGTGGGAGTTTCAAGAATAATTCTTGAGATTTCAAATCAATCCTAGAAAATATCAGAAGTCATTTCGTCACGAATTTTATTAAGTTGCGATCTCGATACGTTATGACTGCTACCAGATCACTGCAACGGACGAGGCAAAAGCTACAGCAGCTAAAAAAGAAAACCCCGTGACGCCAGTATATGCAGAAGATTTTTCACTCATTTCTTTCTCCTTGATGTCGTCATGGGCAGCCTCCTCAACCGGAGCGGCCGTATCATCCTCGACCTCGGTCGATGCAGCAAGAGTCTTGAAGAGTGACATCATACTCGTCCAAGATCGCGAGTCCGCTATCTCGTTGTAGGCTGAAAATGGGCCTGTACCCCACTTCGTAAATCCATGATTTGCATCTGTTGATGTCGAAGAGCAAACTGATGGTTAGCTTTTGAATTACACATTCATGTGAAAACGCAAACGAATTACATTCATGTTTCTTACTCGAGTATCGGCTAATTTCCCATGTAGCAGCAGCGCCATCAAGGTGCTGTTCTAATTCAGTAGGATTTCCATGTGAATCGTCGATTCCCCCCGACAATATGAGCACGTACGGTTTGACGACATCAGATTTAATCTCACGGAGTGGAGATAGTCCACCGTGAATTGGGACGACGGCCTTGACACTCTCAAAAATTCCCGACGAAAATGCGTAATCGATGGCACCCGTTCCACCCAAACAATACCCGGCTACGAAAATATGTGTTTCGTCAACCGAAGGGTGTGTAACAAGCAAGTCAACTGCCGCCTTAATGCGGCCAACGAAAAGTTCTGGATCACTTCGATACTTCGTTGCTAGTACAATTCGTTCTTGCATATCTTCTACATTCGTGTGTTCCACACCATAAATATCTGCGACCATCGCAATATAACCACCTTCTTTGGCCATCATTACAGCACGTTCTGTTTCATATCCAGTTGGTCCATTCACGCCATCCCAATCAGGCAGGACAATGATAGCTGGAACCTTTTGACTCGATAGAGAAGTTGGCTTCGCCATGAAGCCTTTAAGAGCAAATCCGTTGTCATCATATTCCATAGTCTCTACCATTATATCTTCTGTGATCACTGTTTTTTTTTTGGCGATCATAGTTTCGTTAGAGGGAACGAACTCAATATCCACGGCATCATCGGTATCCATGACCGTGTAATCCAAGTCTTTCATCGGTTCTGTGGTTCCAAACTCAACTTCTCCGAAGCGCTCCTTTAAAAATGTACCCATCTCTTCCCAAGACCGTTTATCAACCCATTCGTTGTATGCACGTCCTTTGAAATTTGTAAACCCGTGCTTGACTCCTACAACACGGTGCAAATCCAATCAAAGCACATAACAAAAGAATAAATAATGAAAAAATGTGAGCAAGTTGTATCTCATCCAATAGTTTTTTTCACTGGCACCCCTGAGTAGGTTACGCACCGGAATATCGGGTTATCTGCCACGTCGCGTTGGCTTCATTCAACCGGCCCTCTAATTCCTCAACCGCTGTACCTGCATCGTCGTTACCACCACTCAAGACCAAGACAGGGTTTTTCATTGATCCAGTGACGGGAAAGTCCATTAGACCCCCGTGAAAACTCACGGCACCAATAATATCCGTTGTGTTGCCCGTGTTTGAAAATGAATAGCCCAATACTCCTGTTCCACCCAAACAATATCCGATCACTGCGATTTTAGTGTTGTCCACCAATGGGTGATCCTTGAGGACTTTCACGGCGCTTTGGATGCGAGAATTGAACAAAATGGGATCCGATCTGTAAGCGTTTGATTGCGCGATTTTTACCTGAAAATCTTGGACGTCGTGCATGTCCTCTCCGTAGATATCGGCGACAAATCCAACCCATCCGAATTCTTCATTTATCATTGTCGCACGGATCATTTCATATTCATTCTTTCGAGTTTTTCCGTGGATGAAATGACCGAATCAATAAAATCGATGGCGTGAGGACGTAAGAACACGACCCTCAAATTTCACCTACTAATGTTCAATACAGTACGTGTATGATAAACTTCACTTACAACATTGTCCCAGTCCTATTCCAAAATGATGCAGCAACGCCAGTCGAATGTACAACGAAGAAAAAGAAAATATTCATCGTAAGTTTTCAAGAAGGCAACTGCGAGATACAGTAGCTGATTTCGGCATTTGGAACACAAAAGAATGGACTACATCAACCTGATCCGAAGAACGCTGCATGAAAGGAGACGAGATATAACTTACCGGAACAATGACAACTCCAGGGAGAAGTTGACCGCTGTTATCGATTTGGTTTGGAGGAATGCTCACGAACCCCAACAAAGCGAAGTCGGGGTCATTCACGTCGACATATTCCACTGGGGATACAGCAATCTCTACCGAGTGTGATGAATGATGGGAACGTGAATCCGAATAGGTTTCTTCAGTGTCTGCCGCTTTTGCCAAAGACGAACCCACAATCATGGATACAGAAACGAGGGTTTTCAGTAACTTGAACATAGTCATTGTAGAATTAATTTCTGTTAACGATTCTGTTTTGTAACATGATCCTTGGTCGCCCATAATCAGCGCTCGGCGAAGTAGAAATAGATACACCACGAGAACAAATCTAAAATGTGGTGAACTCGAAAGTGGCTGACTGGATCCTGAATCAATCGTTTGATGGATTCCCGTAACGGTGCGTACGTACGTTCTTCTTAATCGTACATGGTAACTTTTTAAATAGTGCGCCGCGCTATGTAACTTCTCAATCGCACTTACTACGCGAAATATATATGTAAGTTCAGTATCGGCTTTATTTTTTTGTAACCCGGCCCCAATCCCGATTTTTAGGTTTTTTTCTGAGTTTCCATGATTTTTCCTCTCGCAAACTTTCAGACGGCATTACAAGGTCCTACACAATGTAACACTGAAACAGAGAAAAACTATAGAACAAAGAAGACCACTTAGTAGTAGTAGTAGTAGGAGTAGTAGTAGTACTACTACTACTAGTAGTAGTAGCAGTGGGAGTACTAGCACTAGCAGGAGTACTAGTAGGAGTACTACTACTAGTAGGAGTACTAGTACTAGGAGTACTACTACTACTACTACTACTAGTAGTAGTAGTAGTAGTAGTAGTAGTAGTGGTGGTGGTGGTGGTGGTGGTGGTGGTGGTGGTGGTGAGATCTAGTAAGAACTCCTTGACCATGACCTCTCTGATTCATCTGATTTGGAACAAGATGAGCCAGACTACCTTTGCCAGGACTTGATTAGTACTAGTACTAGTGTCTCTCCTCTACTGTCTACAAATATGTCACAGGTGAAGAACTTACCAATCATGCACACAATTGTGTGGAAGATTGCAAAGTTTTGGCTACTAAAGTTATAGTAGTAGTAGCCTGTCATTCATGTACACATTCTTGAATCTATGTAATTACATTTTATTTTCAGTTGTGCACACAAAAAAGTAAGTGTTTCTGTCATAGAATCATAGATTTTTGGATGTAACAGGCTCTCTACAACCAAAAAAGTATGCACATACATACTTTTTTGGAATCCTTTGATTGTATTTAACACATGTGATCTGGGAGTGCTCTCCCGTTTGGTCCTCACTAGTAATTTTTGGTGGCATTCTTGATAAAAATGTCAAATCAACTATTGCAAAAAAGTGTGTGCATACTTTTTTTGGTAGCATGGGGCTACTATTAGCTTATACCAAAAATCTATTATTCTAAGAGTGAAACAAATTTTTCTATGACTGCACAACTGAAAATTAAATGCAATTGCATACTTCCTCTGGTCCACTATATGTGTCATTGTGTCCATGTTTAACTGGGTCCTGAATATCTGTCATTGCAGTTGGGCCTATGTATGATTGTGTACATTCATTACCAGGAGGAACTTCCTTTGTCACTATTACTCATATTTTAACTACTTGTTACTATCACTACTACTACAATGCTTGTTGTTCTTTATCAGCAGCAGCAGCAGCAGCAGCAAGAACTTGTCTCCCTGCTGCAATGCAGTCAGACTTGTAAACAATCAAAACTGGGAGCACAGCTGCATGCACCAGGCTTGCATTTCCAAGACGGGGAAGCTTGTAGTTATTATCACCCCCAACACCACGTGAGGCTTACACACAAGCCTGCAGGGACAAGAAAAACACCTTATTCAATGTGTTGCGCTTTCACTCATCAAAGGCTTGCTTTACATGTTGAATCAAATGATTATTCCCATTTGATTTTTTCTTGTACTACGAATCAAATTGAAGAATCCAAGATCAAGAATGTTCATGTCTGGACTTTTTAGTGGCTGTGTTTTTACACAAACTCTCCAAGCTGGAATTTTCTGCAGCTTTTGCATCATCATCTCTGATTGACAGCTTGTGTGGCTTAGCACTGTCCTCCTGAATGAATATCTCATGAGGGGGACTCCCATCAGCTCCTCTTGGCCACTTTTTGTAGATTGCAGGAAGCATTTCTTTGAGCAATTTTTGCTTGTACACCTCATTGTTTACATTCATTCTGTGGCTTTGTGACTAGTAGGGTTCCTGCTGGACGGTTGACAGAGTTTCTCTTTGCCAGTTCTTTCATGACAAAAGGCCAGATCCCATTTTTTCATGAAACCAAGCATTGCGGCGTAAATCAAACCTTGGATGTGTTGTGGTACACAAGAACATAACCTTTGTCATATGGTTTTTAGACTTTGATGTAGACTTAGGTTTGTCTTCATTAGTAGCAACAAGCAGATATGTTGTTTGTGTAGTCCTCTTCAAGTAGAACCTTTTTCATTGATATGAATCCACTTGAACCAATTGTTGAATCTTCTGCTACTTGCGTCAATGTACCTCAATATCCATTCAACTTGTTGGAGTTTATTGGCAGGAGTTTGTAGTGGCTTTGTGCTCCCATTGTGCTTTTTAATGTTGCCAGACTTAACAATACAAAGAAGAGATGTCTTTGGAATTCCAGTTGCAGCAGAAAGACTTCTTTTTTCACCTCAATCTTTCAGGGGAACATTCCTCACAACCTCATCCAATCCTTCCAAATGCTTCAGTTTGCGACCAGAGTTGGGTCTTCTAGATAGCACATCATCAGCAGGGCAAGTGATGGGATCCACAGTTTGCTTGTATTGTTTCCAAACCCTTGCAATTGTCCTGATTGATATGTAATAGGTTAATGCTGCTTCATTGAGGGTTCCCCTTTCTAGAATCAACCCTCCAGTATAGCATCTTCAATGATACTGCAAAAGATACTGAACAGATGGCAAGTCTCTGATTGTTTGTCAAGTTCTTGCTCAGCTTTTAAATAGGAGGAGAGGTGTTGCTGCTTGAATCACCGATAGCATTTGGAGAAGAGTTGCTGCTTGTATTTAGTGAAGAGACACTGCTTGAGGAATCACAGCTGCTGCTTGGTGAGGATGCTGCCATATCATCAGCAGTGAGGAATAGCCTTGTTGCATCCATGTTGCTTTGCTTTGCGTCTGCTTTAGACTGAATCAAGAGGGGGGAAAGTGAGTTAAAACAAACGAAACAACAAGCAGCAACAAAGAGACCATCAAATGGTTGATTGTTGATTGTTGACCCAAATCCCTTCTTCTCAGTGGAGGCGCCATGTACAAGGCGAGCTGATGGATCCCTTAAGAGTGGATACAACAGCAATGGAGGAGGGGCAGGACAAGTCAATGGAGCCCTTGAGAGTGGAGACAATGGAGGTGCAAGGCAAGTTGTTGGCGCTTCCCCCCCTATCAGCAGCCAGCAGCAAGTTGATTGATCCCCTCTTAGTGGACGCAAGGTGACCAATGAGTCACTTGAGGTGCAAAGACGAAGCCTTCTTGGTCTTAGTCAGTTGAATAGAATGAGAGAAAGAGCAAAGAAACAATGATTGAAGAGAGAATCAGGAGGTGCAACAAAATCAAAAGTGAAATTATCACCTGAAAATAGCACATACCATAATGTGCAATGCACAATTTCTTCTTCTCAATTTTTTTCCTCTCAGCACTCTCTCTCCAGCTCCAAAAAAAAGAACCCACATGAAACTGCTTTGCCTGAGCAGTTTTTTGCTCTCTCCAGTGACCAAGAATGACTACACAGGAACCTTCTCAATAAGTAAGATAAGAATATCATGATAAAGCTCTTAATCTTGGCTTTCTATAGCTGCTGGTTACAGTAAAATCATATTTCATGCCAAAATGGGCCCTGTTTGAAGAGCTAACGCAAGCAGTTACACACTTTCACTTAATGCACTCTTCAAAACTGGATACATCTATAATTGATTTGTTAAGCACAGAAAGAAGCATTCCAATCGCCCAAGTATTGACCTTATTTCAGTAGTAGAGGTGCTAAAATGACACATATAGTGGATCGGAGGAAGTAGATTCAATGTATGGGAATGACCCATTGTTTATGTCCGTGATCCATCGTTCCGTTTAGTACTGGTAAGGCTAGTATTTTTCATAATACAAACATGCCGTTTGACTATGCAGAATGTTTTCAACCCAAGTCCTTCGTCGCAATTCTTCGACATAAACATTGGATTTTGCGGAGATATTTAAAAATTGCAATTTAAAATCAATGTACGATGCTAAGTTTTTGAGTTTTATTGCTTTGTTGACTGATTGGTTACCATACCCCAACCCACCTATCCCATGTGAGATTTATTTTGTTTTCTGCGTTCATCCATTTTTGAGCGAAACCGAAGCCCAATGTTGTTTCGAATTGACATTTTGCATGCATGAAACGTAATATAATTAATTCATTCTCTGGAGAATATTAGAATCCAGGACAAATTCATTCTCGGGCTGGTCTTCATTTCCTGACTTGTTCGGACTACCGCTACCGCTTCGACCTATTCCCCCTTCCTCGTCGTGGAATTCCTCGACGTAATGTATATCTTCTAGTGCATCTTGAAATCTGGACGAGGAATGGTCGCGATAATTCAAGTTGCGGTGTTCATCGACCATCTTTCGTTCGGCTTTGTTGTAGGTTTTCTCGAACATCTGCTGCTGCTGCTTCTTGCTTGGTTTCTGCCGTCTGCGTATCATGAACGCAACGATGGCAAGAACCAAAAAGGTTGCAGCAATCATTCCAGCAATTCCGCCAAACGAAAGGAAGGAAGTGTTCGATAGCTGGGAAGTCACTTCCGTGCCAGTCTCTCCAGCCAGATCAGGAAGCTGTTCTTCTTTTGGAGCTTCGTAGTGGGAGGGAACATGTACCGGTGGAGCAACCGTTGGATTTGGTGTAGGCTCATCAAATGGTGATAATGTGGGGGGGTATTCCTGTTCGGGAAACTGTGCTATACTGAAATCGTCGGCTACGGAGTCCCCAGAGCCATCGTCGGTTTGCTCGGATTGATCGATGGGATCTTGCATTTCATCCGCCTTCTCAATGACTTCATCTACCCACGAATCGACCTCCCCATCAGTTGCCCCATGAGTATTCGTGTTTGGATCCTCGTTTCCAGAGTCGTCTTGGGGTGGGAGAGGGGGAAGCTCAAACGTGTCTTCGTTATCTTCGCCCCCCTCATTTGCATCATCTCCCTCCACGAAAAAGTCGTCATCGAGACTTTCTGAATCAAGGGGGGGAAGTTCATGCTCTTCATCAGAATTTGTTCCATCGTTGTCCGATTGTTCTTGCTCGTCGACATCGTTGTTTCCATCCGTCTGTGTATCTTCATTGTCTTCATCGTCTACTTCCTCCTGAGGTTGATCGACGTCGTCGTTGTCATCGGTTTCTTGACTACCATTGGTGACGTCATTCGTATCTTGGAATCCATCGTCATCGTAATCATCTTCATCGCTGTATATCGATGTCCAGAAATGTGTCACGTCCATATCAAGATCTCTCTCGCACCTATCATCGGCGCTCTCCGCAGATAACGCCAAGCCCAGTTTTTGGTTCTCGAAATCAAACGCTGTGTAGTACTTATTGAGAAAGGCGTCTCCGAGAATCCATCCCTGGAATTGAAAAATTCAGAGAGAGAACACAACATGGAAAATGTTAGAATGATAAGCTTCGGCTCGAAATGAAGTCCTGGCGAGGCGGACACTGGTCTTAGTCGTGCTTCCATTCAGTTTTCCATTGCCAGGAGTCGTACTTACTTTCATTCCTTGCGATGCAACTATTCGCAAGATACAAACTGTTCCAAACATGGTTTCAAGATGGACCATCAAGTCCTCTTTTTCCAATACGTAAGTGTCCCCGCCGATGATGAATTCCACACTAAAAAACGGATCTTCACAATTGTTGAGAACGGCCCCGTCGAATCCACCCGCGTCATTGCAGTCAATTTCTTTGGGATTTGAGCCATTTGAGTTGACTTCCATTCGAAAGCATTTCGCCTTATTCAGTTGCACAAGGCGCGCGACCGGTGCCTGGGGCCCAACAATGTAGGACGACCCAGAATCCAAAACGGCAACAAGCTCGTCGCTGTTTGGTGAGGACGAAGAATCGTCCTTAGTGAGTGTAGCTCCGCCAACTTTCACGTCGTCCAAAGTCACGGCCCAGTAGTTGTCGTAATTCCTTGAGCCATCGTTTTCACGTTCTAGTAGGTCATACCATTTCAAGCATCCCAAATAATGATCTTGATTGACACCCCCTAAAGTGAGTTCCGACGATTGTTTCGGCTTCTCATTGTTTTTCGTGGTTATACCGTCATAGTCGTCGATGTCCGCCCGCAAATACATGCCAAATATATTGTGCTGCAACAAATGGTTATTTTTTTGTTGCGACTGGTGTAGAATATTCCCTAGGACACTATGAAAGCCGTGGGTGGTAGTCATGGCGTTCGCTAGCCCCAAAATACCCTCTTCTTCGTCGCACGTTGCAAAGTCCTTGATGTGCGTCACATGAGCAAATACTTGGTGTGGAATGCGGACGTCGTCATCGCCCAGCCGCAAGGTGTCTTTGGCGTGTTCACCTTTGATCTGCGGGGTTCAAAAGAATTGTACAAAGTTTAGTCGACAAATAGTAAGAAAATAGAAGAGCCCCAGTTGCCTTCGTAATTGGTTTCTGGCGCAGTTACCTCTGCCGACAGAGTAATCCAATACCAAACAAACCGTATCGGTGGTACTTCGATTCACTTACCGCTTCGCCGTCCTGGTATTCGAGTGCAAATTCGTTCCGCCCCAAATCGGTTGATGCCAGCTCGTGCGTAGAGGACTTGGAAGGATCGTACAGGTTCCAGTTTGGGTGTTGTTTCAAGCAGGTGCCATCGCATAGCTTGGAGGGAACCCACACGTCCGATCCGGCCGTATCGAAGTCCACCCGAAAGCGCTGCAAATTTGGAGGACTTCCAAGAGTGATTTCCCCAGAGTACAGCACTAGGTGACAATTCGACAACCCCACGTCGGTAATCAGACCACCATTCATGCCGTCAAGATTGCGATGCTGCTGCAGTTGCTGATTCGATGCGACGGAGAATGGCTGCCTCCATGCACCGGGATGATGTTGCTGGTCTTGCAACTCGTCTTCCGCCCCATCCGAATCCCCATGTGCGTGATCCCCGCGTATCAATGACATTCGCCTTCGTTTTTTGCGAGCCTCGATATCACTGATTAAGGCATTGCGTGACAACCGACGGTTTCGGTGATGCTCGAGTTGTCCCACCAAAGCATTCTGGCGTCTTTCGCTGGAAGCCCTCACGGCGACTGTCACAACTGGCGATTTCCCCGGAGATACACGTCTCCGGGACGATGCTGTTTCCGTTTCCATTTCCATTCTGGCGTTATAATCTATCTAAATAGTTTTTGATTTTGTTGCGTTTGTTTTCCTTGACCCTACCACCTTATTGCACCTTTCGGTGTCTATTCAGTTCACCAAACGTACGAGATAAAGGTACGAGCTGATGTGATCAGAGACTATTTCGTCCTGATGTTTGTTTTATTCTAAGAAAGCAACAAGTTGTAAAATAGTCGACCTGCACCTGGAACTATTGTTACCTAAGAATGAACTCGTTCGGTACGACGAAAGAGTTGGTTGCGGACTTTTTTTAAATCTCTCTTCTTTTTGACGAACCTCTACGGACAGTACAGTAGCCTGCGGCAAGAGTTTACTACCAAGACAAAACGAGTTGAGTTCCGTGTGTACGGCACGGGCAGGGGGGGCGGGGGGTACTACCGTACGATTTCGTACACAATGGACCGTGGTTGCACCAGTGCCTTTTTGTAGAAAAATGATGCAAGATGGATAAACGAAACAAAAAAATGCACGAGTGAAAAAAGCAGGATGGAATAATCTTATGCAAACGAGCAGGCCATGCCAACAAAGGTAAATCGGACAAAAATTTGAATTGAAAAGTCGATAATGCGTGTCTATGTGATTCCACTTTGAACGAGGCATGTCTGGCGCGGCACTCACCGCCGAATACTGGAAAAAAAATACCTGAAAGCGAGCCAGGGGATACCAAAATTCTCGAAGGATCTCACAAAAAGTATCGCACTTCAAAATAGAAATATATCATTCGTACTTATGTACGGTACCAATAATACTATGTTAGGTTATTATGGGAGATGGGAGAGCTCTATCGTATCGTATTCCCAACTCGTATCGTACCGCACACCGAAGTAGCATTGCTCTGTTATGGTACGTACGGTACATTCATACGTAGCTGTGTCAGTGAGTGGTTACGATGAAAGCTCCTAGTGAGCGCTTCCAGTTCTTGGATGCAGTGATACACAACATCAAATTCACTATCGTTTCCAAAGTAGTCGAAGGTGAGAATTTCAAAACATATCCAAGGAACCGAAAAAGCAACAAAAAATAATTTACAATGGCAAATGCGGCTGCAAAGAAAGCGGCTGCGGGTAAGCTACACTCGTCGTTGTGGCGGGCTGGGTTTTATTTTCTAATTGAACTGTGTTTATCGAAGTTGCTGCAATGCAACGTACTTCTACTTGCTAATGCCAGAAAATAGAATCATCTCAGGTGACCTCTTCTCTGCCTTGCCCTTTTGTAATTTCAATCTATTGGGTACTGTTTCAAAAAGAATAGCGAAACAAGATGCCGCGAAAGTGTATATGCCGCTCATTGTCATCGTCAACATTATATACGCGTTGTTGCTGCTGGGAACCTCTGATTCTATTCCCTACGACGGTACGAAATGGGGAATATTTGGAATGATCGTTACCTGGGCAATGCAGGCATATGCCTACATTGGAATATTGGAGAGCAGCGCGATTGCCGCTGCTAAGATAAAGAGCAACAAGGACTTGGCAGGTGGAGCAAACCTTGATTTACTAGCTGTTACAGTATTCGTGCAGTTCTCCTCGGTGTTGCATTCAACGCGTTGGTTCGCTGTGACGATCTTTGGGGTTCCAATAATTGCAGGATACAAGTTGTATCGAACGATTTATGGTTGTGGTGGTGGAGGAGGTGGAGGTGCTGGCACAAAAAGTCAGAAACTCTCGAAAAGCGAAAATAGCAGCGATGATCCCGCGGCGGCCAAACGACAGCGTCGAGCCGAAAAGCGGAGACAGAAATGGGGCTAACTAAAGTCAACCCATCGATTTCACAATACGCCGCATGTTCAAGAAAAAAAAAAACAGGGAAAAGCATATTTCTAGAATACGTGTAGAAGACGATTTGTAAAAAGAAGCGTTTTTCTCATCCAACCTCGTTTGTTTTCTTTTCATACTGGTTCTGAAATTGTCATCGTGTCAGACAGTATCCTTCGAGAAAGTTAGTTGGGACGACGAAGGTTCCCTTGTCTGCTTTTATTTGACGCTTCTCTCCTCTTTAACCTTCGCTGTCCTTGGCCCAGATCTTGTTCACTGTGATCGCGACCGAGTTCTCCGTCCCCAATCTTTCGGGGTTGTTCGTTGGTCTGAGGTGTGTTTACTGGATTCACATCTTTGCGTCTGACGGGATGGACATCATTGTTCCCAAAAGTAGGACCTCCCTCATTATTTGCCTCAATCGTTGCAGCGGTGCTTGATGTAGTCTTCATATTGTCCTCTGCATCATCGACCTGTCCTATGTTGTCGTTGAAAAATGAGATGAGCGCAGATTCATCTAGGTTGTTCTTCCGGGTGGAGGATTTTCCTTCACCTGGCCCTCCTGTTGTGTCAATATCTACAACGTGATGGTCATGATGATGCTGTATCTGTTCGTCCCCAATTTCCGTTGAAGCTGGAAGGATGACATAATCAAGAGTATGGATAATTCCATTACAAGTTTCCTGATCAACAGCTAAGAACGACGGCTTGTACATATTTTGGTTTCCCGCACCTGTCACGTACGATACCTCGGCGTTGGCGTCACACCCAATTTTTGTGACTTGTTGGCTAGCCATAATCTGTTTCGCTCCACATACCATATCTTCATATCGAAGGGGATTTTGTCCTGATATTGACTGCGTTTGCGATGATTTAATGTTGTCGCCAACAAAGAGGTGGCTCAGGAGCAATTTAGTAAGATCGTGGCCAGAAAGGAGTGCTGGTGATGCATTTTTCCCAAAAGCTCTCGAGAAGGCTTCGTTTGTCGGTGCGTACAGAGTATAGCTGTTGCTACTAGGGGACGAAAGAACATCATCCAATCCAACCTGCATGAGTAAGGAACATATTGTACTAAACTTATCGTTGTTCTTGTCGTCGCATAAGTTTTGCGTAATCGATTGGCAAGTAACAGCTGATGTTTCAGGTTGAGAGGAATTCGAAATATTTGCTGCAGCAAGAGTCTTATTACCACCATCTGACAATTGCTTTTGTTCTATTGCTGGTAGAGGTTTACCTTTGATAAATTGGATGGAACCACCGTCCAAAATTGGATCGCCACCAGCCTCTGTCAGCAAGTTCCACTCTGCTACGATCTGACCATCTTTGTAGCCTGAAGCTGCAGATCGTAACCACTCCATGTTAAATCCATCACGAGAGTTATCTCTACCGTATGATATGGCGTTCAAGCTTACAGTTCCTTCATTTAAAGTTGTAGTAGGCACGAGCCAATCAACAGCTAAAGCATTCCGAAACAACAATAATCCTGAAGAAGTTCCATGAGATTCTTCCAACGATCCAAACCTCAACGGAAGTATCGAAGCTGTTGTTGAGTCATGTCCAGGAGCAGGGGCAATGGGAAAGAAGACAACATTTTCATTTGACTTCTCATGAGATCCAATGCATAAGTATCGAGAATTCATCCCTCCTGCCTTGGTAACTGTTGGGCAAGACCCTCCAACCGCTGAGTAGGAACTCTTCTCGAATGGTAAGGATCCAACGGACTCGAGAACGACGACTTCGCCTGCCGCACCGTCTTTGTTTATTGTATCGTGTAGAGCACCTTCATCTTCAATGTATAAATAGTATTTCAAGTCGGCTCGTACTACATCAGTGAGGAGGCCGAGAGAAACGAAAATGGAAAGGAAAAATCCTGTTGTGAAAATCGCTGGGGTCAAAAGCATAGTGGATTTTTTATTTTGAGGCAATAGCGATTCTCAGTGTCGTCATAGATATTCTACCACTTCGGTCTATTTCCTGTGTTTATTATAAAAATACTGTAATAGATTATTGGAGCTGTGGAGCTGTAGGGATGGTGCTGGGCGAGAATTAATAGATGCTCTTATTTTTTGTAAACGTCGACAAAAAGTGAGACACCATCTTGTCAACGACAAAACGGTCGTAGAATTTCAAATTGGAAATGAAACGGTATTCTGGAAAACGAAAAGAAAAGTCGCGGGCCTGACTTCTTACGGTACCGGTACGTAACGAAGAAAAACGGTCACAAGTTTCTTCATTTTAAATCATACGAGTCGAGAAATGGAGGAGCAGCCCTTCTGTAATAGAGCTATTAAAGGCAAGTCCCGTAGTGGCAAGTTATTGGCAATTCCCCGGGTGTCAATTTTTTTTCTCATTTTCCCGTCTTTATTTCCCCTCTCCCCCCCCCCCCGGAAAGTCCTAAAATATTTCTATTAGTGCTCCTTACTACTATTGTGTGGAAAAACATTAGTAAAACAAATTCTTGTACTGGGCCCTCTAGAGAATCCCATGTGCAAATTTTGAATCCCTCCATTCTTACAGCATAAAAATGACCCTCAAAATTAGGACAGTGGAAATATTTGTGGTGAAACAGTTCTGTGAGAAAGTTACCCAGCATGGGTATTGTAGTATCATTCAAAGCAATAATTGGCATGTTTCTGAGGTAGTGAAGATAGCTGGACTTTGACAAAGTATCACATAGCCACACTAGTAGTGCGGGCTAAAAATTCTGGATGAGTCATTTGTATATTTTTTATGCTGTATATTCATACAAATATATTACTTCCTCTGTCCAAGAATAATAGTCCCCTAACAAGCTTACTACTAAAATAAGCTCAATACATGACCAATTCATTCTTGGGTGTTTTTTTTTCTTCAATTTATCATATTTAATACTTCCTCTGTCCCCAATTAAATGTACCAATGACACTTTTTTGCTGTCCCTAAAGAGTGTCCTCAAGTTTAATTAACACTCATGAATACTAGTTTTATTTAACCCCAAATTGAATATGATTGAATATGACTGTGTAGAACACATAGAATCAGTACTACAAAGTGGAAATGAGCATGTGCGTGATTAAAAATTATTTTCACACATATTAACACAGCATATGAAATTTTGACAATGGTACGATGTACCTCTTTCAAACAAGAAATGACCGCACAGGAACCTCAATAACTAAGATAAGAATATTGTGATAAAGCTCTCATTCCTGGTGGCTTTCTATACTAGCTGTTGGTGGCGTCATAAAATGGCAAGCAGAACCCTTTCAACCGGTAAAATGAAAATCATATGCCAAAAAACGCCCTCTTCTTTAAGTAAATGCCACAAGTATGTCAGACACTTTCAATTAATACAATCTATATACTTGTATACATTTATAATAGATCTGTTAACAAACAAAAAAAGAAGCATTCCAATCGCCCAAATAATGACCTTTTTTCGGTAGTAAAGGTGCAAAAGGGACATTTAATTGGGGACGGAGGAAGTACTGTACTACCGTACAGTATTTAAATGCATTGTGCTTTTATTAGTTGTCTTATTTCGAACTCAAAATCGTACCGGTAAGCTCAAGGTAAAACGCTCAAGGTAAAACAGGTGCGCATTAACTTTGTAAGGTGCACGGGTGATGATCATTAATTTTTTGAAGTGTGAACAGTACATGCGGGTAACGGTGCCTACACCCGTAGATGCTTGTACCAACCATGCGTTGGCGCGTCCGCGCAACCGAAACAGAGGTTGGAGAAAATTTCAGAACAATTTTTTTCAAAATTACTAGTACTAATACTTTACAGTAATATTGTTGCAAGCCGAGTGTCCTTTTTTCCACTACGGGAAGGTAGAAACGTTTCATCACAGAAATCGCATGCTTCATACCCATTGCTTCAATTGACGTGCAATTTGTAACTGACACAAGTTTCGGTGCTAGAGTCGTGGATCGGTAATAGTAACGAGCGACGATATAATGGTGTTCCGTAAAATATTCAAGGGTAGACGATCCCGTTCTAGAAAGGAGAAAAGTTTCAGTGACGCGATCAGCATAGATGCTTCTATTTCGTCGCGTAGCTGCCGCAAAGGACCGACGAGATACGATGGGGCATTTGTTGAAACTGTTACGACAACAATGGAAGAGCAAGATGCTGACTGTTATGATTGTAATCCACAGCGAAATGATTCCCACGCGATATATATGTTTCCGACAGCGTGGAAGGAGCGAACCGGAAGCCGCTGTGACGGTGCGTATGATACAATCGATACAGAGAACAGAACCAAAACAACCCTTCAGGATGACGATGACTCAATAACGGAGATGAAAAATTACGAAATGGGTTGGGATCTTGCCGTTGATGTCAACGAAGACCGATACAAAAGCAAAGAAGATTCATTGTCGTGGGTAGAGAGCTCCTTGTCATGTTTAGCCTGCGTATGATTCCAGATAGGGATCCAGTTGGGGAGATTATATCACGAAATGTAATCAACTTGCTCTCAATCAATGAAACGAAACGCTACGTCGTGGTAGCGGTAAAAAATCGAAGCAATAGTAACCGAATTCGGAATTCAAGTATGAACTATGGAATCGACCATTATCGCGTTTGGTCCATGCGTGAAGGAAGACTAGAAAAGAACTGTAACAGACATAAATACACAAAAAGAAGATAATGCAGCTTGCACTCCGTTAGTTTCAAGCAGTGAAACCCATGGTTGAGGCGGAAACCAATACACCAAATAAGGGAACCCTGGATTCAAGCTGACGGAGTATGAACTGTAAAATTGTTATTAAAGCAATCAGTATATCTGGAACAATTCTGTTCTATCGAAAGTCCTGCTTTACCAATATTGAATATAATTGCTTCGACTGACTGCAGCACGACAACATAAAGTATCAGAATAAGATGATCGAAAAAGACGACGGCAATAGAAGACGAATACATAGGACAATAGTAGTAGATTCATTATCCAGGCCTGCGGGATGTTCGAAAGGTATTTTTTGATAAGAAAAATTAGCGGCTTCGATGTTCATCGAGAGTAGATCAATTGTACCCTTGCATGGCATAACGCAGTATGAGTACGTACTTGTCGTTATTCCAAGGTTCTGTTTTGCTTCGAGATCAGTATCGAAAAAAAATTATTCTGTACGGTACGAACCTATTGACTTTGTGGAATTCGAAAAGTCAGAACTACTACGCGTAAAATAACAATTGAAACACCGTTAATTAAGGGGTTCGGAACATTAATTTAACGTTCTGAATGTTAGCGTTAACATTCCGAATGTTAGTGTTAACATTCCGGACGTTAGGGACGTAGGCCTAGGTACAATCTGTACTATACCCGGTGGGGGACAGGCCGGCAGGTCCAGCAGCTGTTCAGCAGCTTCCAAGATCTCTTCCTTGGGATGGTCTCTCGTAGGATTCAGTACCGGGAGCCTCGTAGAAAATCGTGGATCAAGGTACTTGCCTTGCGATTTTGGTCAAAATAGAAGGGTTTTGATTGCAGGTACAAAATTGTACCGTGTCCTACTGTCGTGACCTTTACCTGCCTCCAGCGTGCCGATCCAGCGAACTAAACTGTTCTTTTCATTCATTCTAAAGCAAGAAAACTCCCCGGTTCAAGCAACCGACCATGGGAATCCGCTTTTAGAGCACTTACACTCACTCTTTCTTACTGTACTTGGTATCACTGGATAGCTCTCTTTAATTGTCGATTGAACAAGCCTTGAACCATAGAAAAGGACCCAGTAGAAGTCCTTATTTAGTTTGATTAGTGTTGCTTCTTTTTTTACGACGCCTTGCTTCCAACGTCGGCAGCAACATGAGCAGAAAGGATCCAGCTGATGAGGTTGCAAGGATCAGAGCCAATGCTGGCCTAACGCGATTAACACAACAAGAAAGAGCTGAGAGGTCTCATCCTTCTAGGGGAGGGAGTGAAGGCTACCCTGTCTTCTTTAGGCAACAGGAACTGGAAAGGAAGGCTGCTGGTCTTCCTACTTCTGTCAGTAAGGCGTCTCTTTCCAGATGGAGTAGACGCCTTGATCCATACAGAAAGACAGGCAATAGGAGCCAGGGCAAACTGGTGGGGCGCGATCTCTTTAACATGGTTGTGTTTGTTTGGATCTATCCAGATGCAAGCAATGATGAGATTGCTACTCATATTTTCAACATGGGAGGACCAATCTACTCTAATTCATTAATCAGCAGGAGGTTGAACAAGATGGAGCTTACAAGGAAGAGCGCGTCAAAGGAAGCCTATCAAGCCTTCAGCCCAGAGAGTATGTGGAGATCCAAGATCTTTTGGACCAAGCCCCCTCCCCTGGGAGTGGTGGGAGTTCCTAGGAGGAGGTTCATTGATGTGGATGAGTTTGGGATGGATATGACCAAGACCAGCAAGGGGAAAAAAGGAATCGCGCTCAAGTGCTTTAGAGCAAGGATCCCTGGAGCTTATCAAAGGACACAGAAGCTCACCATCATCCTTGCTGTGGAGGCAGGCGATCCGCGTTTGCCTCCAGCAACTAGAGGAAGCGTGGAGAATCCAAGGAGGTGGATCAATGTGATTCAGCAAGTGGGCACCTCTGCCACAGTCTTTGCCCACTTTATTGATAGGATCTGCAAGGACATCGAGACCAATCCAGTCCCCGGTGATACTGACGAGGAGAGGATCTTCCTGTGGGACAATCTAGGCTCCCATCTGTCCACTTTGGTTGGCTTGAAGGTTGCCATTAGACCTGATCCTAAACCAACTCTGTTTCGATCTATTCCCAGGCCTCCCTACCAGCCCAAGTATGGGCCTGTTGAATTCAAGATCTGTGATCTTGTCTCAGCAGTATCTAGGGAGGCGCGTCCTAATTGGACCACCAGTGATCTTGAAGCAGCAATTTACAGGGAGGCTGGAAGATCTATCAAAGGGGTTGATGCTACCTTTGATCACTGTGGATACAGTCTGGATGGAAACTATGATGATTAGTAGCAACAGCAACAAAAGCGGCGCGTTGGTCTCTAGCAAGCGCGGCGGATCCAGAGAGTAGCTGTAATGGACTGGAGCAATCCCCTGGAGCGTGGCTTGCCAGCGTGGCGACTCATCCTGGGCCTGTGGAAACTGAATCCTACTGGGGAGCCTGGATTCCAGTCCCCTACTGGAGCAGCTTGCTTGGATGCTCAATCGATCCGGATGAATTGACTACATGGACTGAATACAGCAGTTACAGTCGGTTGAATCGATTGACCAGCATACTCAAGCTTAAGAGGAATGGATCCAACGCGTGGTCCTTCCTCTATCTATCAGTACTATTTGTATACAGTTTATCTTTAGTAAGGATCATATCTACCAAGAGTAGTTGCAATAGACTTGAGCAATACCCCAAGGACCAGCGAGCTGCGCCTTTGAGCTGTCCTGGGCCTACAGTTTTAGTATGT